CTGCTGATATTAAAAGTGTACGGATGTTTAGGACTTGTCCAATGCTGATGAGCAAATCTTAAATTAAAACTAATACCCATTCCGTTCACAAATCAAGATCTTCAGAGTTCCTTGAAGGTCTCATGCAATTTTAAGTACTGCCTGTTTGCAAATTTAGCAAGGGGCCGCCCCTTTTGGAGGAGAATGGCCTTTGGGGAAAAAACCGGGTTCATAAGTAAATCCTCTTGCATTTCCCAAATTTCTTCCCTGCAGCAAAATTGTATCCCTTCTGTCTAATGATCTAAATTTAAAAACAGTTATAAAACGATAAATAAAGAAAAAATGGGAAATTACAAAAACAACATTCAAAACAAAAATGAATTTAAAATCTGTCTTTCAAAAAAGAAAGATCTAAATTATTTTTGTAATACTCAATAAAAAAAATAGGCCCGATGAAAAAACTAACATTCAAAACCAAATGATTAATTAAAAATCTGTCTATGATCAGCAAAAGCAAGATCATCAATTATTTTTTATAACAACCAAGAAACATATGGTGAGTTAGTTGGTGAAAGGGTGAAACCTTTTAATAGTTATTTATAATCATGAGAGGAGCGGCTGGCCAAACCGTTAGAATGCTGGGTTCACATGCGGGAGACCCAGGTTCAAATCCTCTGTAAGGCTGGGCATTTTTTTTCTGTCAGGGGCAAAATAAAATCCTCCCGCACCTGGCTACAGCACTACCTACGGCCAAACCTCAGGCTCATAGACCCCACCCTGCCCCCAAAAAATTGGTTTATAAAAAAGACAGAAATTTGGGCTTTTTTTATCCTTGCCCCAAAACACAGAAGCATTACATTATTACTTAAGCAAAATTCCAACCTTGTTCTCACCTACTCGTACTTTAATCCCCTAAACAAAGTTGGCGTTCTGCCAAGTGATTTTCCTGCTCCAAACTGCTCCCCACCAGGGCCCGGTAAAGGCCCGTATTCAAACGGGCCCTGAAAATCTAAGAAATTTAAATATTTTAAAATTAAATCATCTGGTGTAGAGTTTGACACAATACAGAAGGTTGTGGATAGACATGATTACCAATGCCAGACGGCAAGGATTCTAAGAAGAAGAAGAATGATATAAGAATAAAACTGCCATATCAAAATGGTATTATCCCAACAACCCTAAATGTCAGATGCAAGAATACAATATTTGACATTTTTAGTATTCAGTTCAACATTCTTATTATTATTTAGCAGGTCATTTGAAGCATGTAACTCCTGTAGTGGCTGTATGGAAATTTGTGTAATGGCTCTATGGAAACTCCTGCAATGGCTTTATGGAAACACCTCTAATGGCTCTCTGGAAACTCCTGTAATGGCTCTATGGAAACTCCTGTAATGGCTCTATGGAAACTCATGTAATGGCTCTATGGAAACTCCTGTAATGGCTCTACGGTAAATCCTGTAATGGCTCTACGGTAAATCCTGTAATGGCTCTCTGGAAACTCATGTAATGGCTCTATGGAAACTCCTGTAATGGCTCTATGGAAACTCCTGAAATGGCTCTATGGAAACTCATGTAATGGCTCTATGGAAACTCCTGTAATGGCTCTATGGAAACTCCTGTAATGGCTCTATGGAAACTCATGTAATGGCTCTCTGGAAACTCATGTAATGGCTCTCTGGAAACTCCTGTAATGGCTCTCTGGAAACTCATGTAATGGCTCTATGGAAACTCCTGCAATGGCTCTACGGAAACTCCTGTACCGCTTCTCTCAAACTGAATGTAACTGCTCTCCAGAAACTCCTGTACTGGCTTCCGTGAAACTCATGTAATGCCCCTCTTAAAATGCATACATCAGCTCTATAAAAACACCTGTATTCTCTCTATGGAAACTTATGTAATGGCTCTCTAGAAACCCCTATAACTGCTCTCTGGAAGCTTGTAATCACTGTCTGGAAACTCCTGTAATGGCTCTCTGGAAACTCTTATATTGGCTCTATGGAAACTCCTGTAATGGCTCCATGGAAACTCCTGTAATGGCTTTATGGAAGCTCCTGTAATGGCTCTCTGGAAACTCCTGTAATGGCTCTCTGGAAACTCCTGTATTGACTCTATGCAAACTCATGTAATAGCTCTCCAGAAACGTCTGTAAAGGCTCTCCAAAAAGACTCAACCCTGGACAATTCCTTTGCTTCATGTAGCTGGCATATGCTTGAATCCACATTAGGATGGACATTTTGTGACTGACCGACAGCTTGCAGGTCTAGTAAGTCTAACATTTGAGATCTCATGGACAGTAAAGATAAAGATGTGGTGTTGACCATATCACTCCCTGAGTACGGACTGATCTATAATTATGAGTCTAGCACAATATACCCAATGCACCAATGGCTTCAATAAAGATCCTCTGCTTTACTAGCTTAATTTATTCGTTGAAAATAAAAAGATAGTCGAATATTTTTCTTAGCGTTTACTGGCTGTCAACTCTAGTGGTAAGTTCTGATTGTTCTTCTACCTGTAGACTTTAGTCTTGTTGCAAAAACATGAGTTTTGCATGCATGTACATTTCACAGATCTGGTAAGCAGACTGTTGGTTCCTCGCCTCTCAGGCAGAGGCACTCTGACTTCGAAAGAAACCCCCTAATCGATTGACCTTTACAACACTCTGTTTGGGAAAGTAGATTAGTTTTCTTCCCCCCCCCCCCCCCCCCCATCCAAATAGGAACCCCACACGGAAAAGCTGAATATTATGTAAAGACTGATGATAAACAAAGAATCAGCAAATGCACAGAAAGCATGGATTTGTTGTGTACAACTTACACAGCACCGGGAGGTGGAATTCTGTATGTGACATTCTGCTGTTCCAGTCTCGGCAGTTCCCTGTAACCAACTGCTCTGGCAAATGAAAACCAGTCTTCCTTCTGCTGCTTGTTTCGCTCATCTCCCTTAGGCAAACTTTCCCATGATGCTTTGTGCCAAGCTCGATCTGCCAAGGCTGAAATATTTGGAAGAAAAAAAGATAGAGAGAGGGAGAGAGAGAAAAGAGAGAGAGAGAGAGAGAGACAGACAGACAGACAGAGACAGACAGAGACAGAGAGAGACAGAGAGAGACAGAGAGAGAGACACAGAGAGAGAGAGATAGAGACAAAATTGACTGAGGTTTTAACTCTTTCCATACCAAGGAACTCAACATGCATTCATTTCTCTAAACCTAGAAGTGACTTATACAAAACAAATTTAGAGTACTCTGCAGCTCAGCTGTAGAATCATCTTCCACAGGAAATCAAAAATATCATTAACCCCTATACATACGGGAGTCGCCGTAGCAGAGCGACTAGATGCACGCCTCAGATAGGAAGGTCATGAGTCCCCTCCCTGGTGGAGCTGGACTTTTTTCAAAAATGACCTTGGCTCCCAGGTTGACCCAGCCTTGAGTGGGTACTGGGTGCAGTCCCGGGAAAGTAAAGGCAACCGGCTTGATGCTGACCGATCACACATCATGTGCCGTTTGGTCTATAAAATATAGGTCTTGCCCTATATGCCCTATAAGCCTAAAGGCGTGGAAAAGGGTCCTTTACTTACCTTTACTTACTATACATACAGTTAGAAACTATTTAAACATTATCTCACTACAGACTATATGCCCCTGTGAAAGATTATAGTATGTTAAGCCTATGATGAATTTCCATCAGATGTCTTTTTAAATTTTTTTTTTCACTGAAAGTTGTTACTGTTGAAAAATGAAGATGCCAGTCGAACTCATTCCAGCATTTGTAACTAATTTTTAATTATGCAACCTATTACTTACACCATTTTTGAATTTGTTTTTTTTTTGCTTTACTTTTAAAAAAGTTCAGTTATGTAAGTATAATTAGAGCACATTTCAGCATTTGTAATTAAGATTTAGATGTTGTGAACATTTTATGGGGGATTATTAGTATTATTAACTATGAAATGATGTACAAATGAATAACTGAATGGCTTACATCCCTCAGGCATGGTGCATCAGCCTGCCAGGCAGCAAAGGTTGCACAGGCAGAGAAACTGCTAATCCCACACTTACTTTGGCTTCCACCTGTTGTCCGCAATGCTCAAGAATTCATATTGGACAAATCAGCCACTTTCATACTCATAATCATTGATCATTACTGCTTTCGATTAAAAGTGGTCTTCATCGCTCATCCTTTTTTATCATGATGAGTGAGACAGGTAATAATGTTCTTGCATAAATGTCTGTCCTCTGTGTTTTTCATGAATGCAAACACTGACTATCTTCTGTGCAACTCTGTCAAACCATAATGCATCTTCTCTCTGTGGTGTCCTCTGCCTCAAACACTCTTGATATTTTGTGTGCTTGGTGCAGCCCTGTGAGCTGTGTATTTCATGTGGAATGCCTTTCATTTGTGCAGCAGCTGTGTCATCGTTTTCAATATGGCCGGTTTAGTGTGAGCTGGTGAAATGCTTTATGTAGTAATTCTAAGTGTGTGTAGGCAATTACGGGAAATTATAGACATTGTGGTGGTAGAAAGTGGAAGAATGGGCCTCAGTTTGAATAATGGGAAGACAGAAGCAATGGTAGTATCAAAGAATCAAATTATTCCTAAATGTGTAATAAAAGTCGATGGTGTTATTTTGGGACAAGTACAGAAATTTAAGTATCTGGGCACATGGATAACATCAGATGGAAGATACATAACTGAGATAAGAAATAGAATAGGACAGGCAAAAACTGCATTTTATAAAATAAAGAACATCTTATGCAATATATCTTTGTCATTGAGAGTTAGAAAAAGAGTTTTTGCTTGCTACATACATCCAGTTTTAACATATAGCTGTGAAGCCTGGACAATCGGTAGGCAGGCCGAACAATTTCTTGAGGCCTCAGAGATGTGGTTTTACAGAAGAATGCTTAGAATACCTTGGACAGTCAAAAAAAGCAACCAAGAGGTTTTGAAAGAAGCGGGCGCCCCAAGACAACTTATCACATAAATCAGAAGGAGAAAGTCATCATTTTTCGGCCATGTTATGAGAAGAAGGAAAATAGAACATGTTTTGACCACTGGAAAGATCTGTGGAAGGAGGGATAAAGGAAGGCGAGAGAAGATTTTTGACAGTCTTGTTGCATGGCATGTAGGTGTGTTGGCACACCAACTGATACATGCTGCAGGAGATCGCAGATTGTTAAGAGGCATGATCGTCCACACCAGTCAGCAAGGCACCTGATGATGAAGATAGGCAACATCATGCCTGACTACTTCCATCAACAAGCAACTTATCATGCCCAACTACTTCCATCAACAAGCAACTTATCATGTCCGACTACTTCCATCAACAAGCAACTTATCATGCCTGACTACTTCCATCAACAAGCAACTTATCATGCCCGACTACTTCCATCAACAAGCAACTTATCATGCCCGACTACTTCCATCAACAAGCAACTTATCATGCCCGACTGCTTCCATCAACAAGCAACTTATCATGCCTGACTACTTCCATCAACAAGCAACTTATCATGCCCGACTACTTCATCAACAAGCAACTTATCATGTCCGACTACTTCCATCAACAAGCAACTTATCATGCCCAACTACTTCCATCAACAAGCAACTTATCATGTCCGACTACTTCCATCAACAAGCAACTTATCATGCCCGACTACTTCCATAAACAAGCAACCTATCATGCCCGACTACTTCCATCAACAAGCAACTTATCATGTCTGACTACTTCCATCAACAAGCAACTTATCATGCCAGACTACTTCCATCAACAAGCAACTTATCATGCCTGACTACTTCCATCAACAAGCAACTTATCATGCCCGACTACTTCCATCAACAAGCAACTTATCATGCCCGACTACTTCCATCAACAAGCAACTTATCATGCCCGACTACTTCCATCAACAAGCAACTTATCATGCCCGACTACTTCCATCAACAAGCAACTTATCATGCCCGACTACTTCCATCAACAAGCAACTTATTATGCCCGACTACTTCCATCAACAAGCAACTTATCATGCCCGACTACTTCCATCAACGATGAACTACATTTCTGGTGGGGACTGTTGGCTTTGTGGCCTCTAGCAACTGAAATATGCATTTACTGCATAGGCATATTTCTGGATTGTTCTGGGATTGTTTGTTCACCAGTTTATCAAATGCAACAGTGAGGGACATTTCATTTGATTTGCATTGGCAAAGGAACTGAGCAAGTATGGGAACATCCGATTACAGTGAAGTTGAAATGTCGACTAAGACTAAGACTTGATATTCCCAGCTGACACAGTCTTCTCGAGACATGCTTCTCTCACAACATACACATATTTACATAGCTATGTCGATAAAAGTGTTAAAGTGGGGATGTGGGGGTTAAGGAGGTTGGGGGGAGGGGCATATAGATACAATAAAAGAAGAATATAATTAGAGAAACCTTCAAACAATGACAATCTGTAGATGTTAAAACAAATAAATTAGTATGAACTAAAAATATTTAACTCTAATGTCAAATCAGTACTGCTGTATGGATAAACAAAAATAAAAGACAAACATGGATAATGACTTAAAAAAAAATATGAACGAACTAGAAACATTATTTAATTGCTACACAAAATATAATGCCAGAATCACTCATGTTTAGCTGACGAAGAGATCTAAAGAAATATCTGTCACCTCAAGCATTATGGTAAACATAAACAGCCTAGAAAACAGATGATGAAAGCTGTCACCTCTAGCATTATGGTAAACATAAACAGCCTAGAAAACAGATGATGAAAGCTGTCACCTCTAGCATTATGGTAAACATAAACAGCCTCAAACAGATGATGAAAGCTGTCACCTCTAGCATTATGGTAAACATAAACAGCCTAGAAAACTGATGATAAAAGCTGTCAGCTCCAGCATTTTGGTAAACTTAAACAGCCTAGAAAACAGATGATAAAAAGCTGTCACCTCTAGCATTATGTAAAACTTACCCAAAAGTCGAGGGAAAAGCTGATGATACAAATCATCTCTGGTTCTCACTATCTCACTGAATAATGTACCTTCCATACCTGTATAAACAGTGGCACAGTTAAAGAAAAACATAAATCAGCACTGTAAAATATATATGTGAAATTCGTCAGGGTTTATCAGGTTAAAAATTTGAATCATCACAGCATTCAGAGCAAGCTCGTATTAGCCTCGTCTCCCTCCTCGACAGCCAGCAAAGCATCTCCCAAACTGAGGGTAACCATTGTCAACCATTGTCATATGGTTAACTACTTGTCTCGCCTCTCCGCCCCCCTCCCTCACCCCCTACTTCTACCACCCTAAGTTTGCCCGACTCTCTAGCGTAGTTGGCTAAACCGGATTACGCGGAGACCGGGTGACTAACTCCTTGTGGTCCGGGATCAATCCCGGGGGTAGGCAGGAAAGCCACATTTTCTCCCAGATTTATGGTATTTACAATGGAATCAAGGCCGAAAGCTTGCGATGTCCATAATACCGAGCCTAAGGGTTCACAACTCATGGCTTCTGGATACTAAAACAACAAACAAACCCTAAGTTTCAAGTGTCATACACAGCTCACAGACACTCCCCGCAGCATCATTCTCTCCTGGTGTGGGTTTTCAATATTTTCTAATTCACTTGTTACCTCGTTCCAAAGGCGAGAGACTACACAAATTGTTTTGACAGAATGAGCACCAGTGATATTGCAGTGCTACAATGGCATACATTTTATTGCCTAATAAAATCGTGACATTTCACATAAATATTTTTGTACAGACCTTAAGCAAAGTAAAACTCTAAACCACCAAGATCATAACATACAATTCAACAGCATCATCATCATGTAGCAGGTCATTTGCAGAACGTCTGAAAGAAACCCGGTCTCTCGAAAGCTCTCCCGCCTCATGTACTTTCGTACTCAAGAAGTCACTTGTATCCTGTGCACATCTTTGTGTAGGTCTGCCCCCGCCCCTCTTTCCTGGTACCATGCCCTCTTATATTATTTTTTCCAATCCGTCGTGGCGCTTGATATGACAAAAATATTTTAGCTTCTGAGACAGGATGCTGTTTATTAGCCTTCCTTGATGTTCAGATCTTTCAAGATGTCAGTATTTCTCCTCTTCTTTGTCCAAGATATTCTGAAAATCTTTCTATAGCATTGCAGCTCAAAAGCCCATATTCTCTTTCTTAAGGACAGGGAGATAGTCTACGATTCACATCCGTATGTTGCTACAGGGAAAATGCATGCTCTCAAAATTATAATTTTGATCTCCTTGTTGGTGCTTAGCCATTTACTTTTAATGTAATTTAACAGCAGTAACATGAAATATGTTACAGAGTTCAAGCATAAAAGAGAGTAAGTAACAACTGGTTATGAAAGACTGAAAGAGACAGAAATAAGATGATAAGAGGCATATATATTTCTTATAAGACATTTTTCCCTAAAATAAAAGTAATGGACCTATTTCTTTAGGCGTATTGGAAATACAGGGCTAGACCTATATTTTATAGACCAATCGGCACTTGGTGGGTGATGTGGTCAGCATCAGGAAGGTCACCTTTACTTCCCAGGACTGTACCTACCTAGAACCCACTGAAGGCTGGGTTGACCTGGGAGTCAAAGTCATTTCTGAAAAAAAAAAAAAAAAACTGTCTACCTAAAAGCATGTCGTAAGAGTTGACTAATTGGAAGCTTCCTTCATAGTTGGAGTGCATCTGCACTCTGCAAGGAACCAACAGTCTACACACGCAACACTCAGGTTCTGGAACAGGACTGCAGTCCAGAAGTGGACGAACAACCAGAACTTTCTGTGGGAGTTTACAGCCGGTTAACTCAAAGAAGGAGAAGAAATGGTTCAGACATGTGTCAAAACTATCATTGAACAGTGCCCCACAGAGAGCTCTGTCACTTAGATATAACAAAAGCAGAGCAAAAGCTTGACCATGCAAACAATGGATAGATGGAATAAACAAAGCTGCAAGTACCAGCAACTAGCTAGCACAAGAAGGCTTACACCAGACATTTCTTCAGGATCTGACATTGAATGGTATGAGGTTTGAACAATGGATCAACATCATGGAACACCGGTAGTAACCCATAAGTGCTCCATTCTACTTCTAACTCAAGTCTGAGTACGAAAAAGCTCAGCACAGTGAACAAGATTTGTAGCTATGGCGAGGATCCTGAAATACTTTGGGTAGATTTTAAACTCCAAATTTGTGCCCGGGCCATGCTGTTTGTCTACTTTTTTTTATTTTCAGCTGCCAAGGGATTTTTTATGTGCGCAGCAATGCACACAGGCGTCTGAACTCACTATCCAGAGACCAGGGGGAATTACTAAAAGTCCGAGTCAACGTAAAAAAATCCCAACCCTTACGGGGGATTGAACCCGGGCATCTAGCACTCGAGGTGGACACCATGCCTTGAGACCATGCAGAAAATGACTAGAGAAGAAGTAGATGAAGAAGCTTCACAATTTTTATTATTTAATTTTTCACTTCAGCTTCCTATAGATTGAAATAACTCTTCTTGATTTGACGAAAAAGTCATTGTTCATATTGGATATTGGCTGCTTGTGAATGTTCTGAAAAGCTGAGTTTTAGCTGTTAATTTTGACTGTTTGGAATTCAGGTTGATCCCCCCCCCCCTCCTCTCTTCCCAAAAAAAATGGGCTAGCATTTACTGGAGTGAAGATATGTACAGTGTTTATTAGAGTGAAGATATGTACAGTCTTTATTAGAGTGAAGATATGTACAGTGTTTATTAGAGCAAAGATATGTACAGTGTTTAGGCTAAAAGAGGCCATTATCAGAGGTGCACAAAACTTCGATGTGTGACCTGTGTCCTGCATGAGAATCCATGCAACCAGCACAGAGAATGTTTATGTCCAAGCTAATTGGTGGGGTAAAGCTCACGACCTTACAGAGGATTCAAATCTGGGTCTTCAACATGAAAGGCCCAGCCTTTAAAACAGTTGACCAGCCACTGCTCTACACAACAGACAACTTACCATAAATATTTTCTGGATTGGTTAACTGAGGGCAGCTTGTGTTAGCTGGTCCACAGAGTTCATCTGCTGAAACTGAGGCACCAGATTCTGGGGTCTGGATGTTGTCATAGTAGTTCTCGGCATTGTAGAAGAATACCTTCTGGATGTCTGAGTGAAAAAGAGAGAAAAAACATCACATGCCACTATTGTAATGTGTTGAATTAATCAATCAATTAATCAATAAATGTATAGATGATGTCATAGTAGTTCTCAGCATTGTAAAAGAATGCCTTCTGAATGTCTGAGTGAAACAAGAGAAAACAAACGTCACATGCCACTATTGTAATGTGTTGAATGAATGAATGAATTAATCAATAGATGTATAGATGATGTCATAGTAGTTCTCAGCATTGTAAAAGAAATCCTTATAAATGTCTGAGCGAAACAAGAGAGAACAAACGTCACATGCAACTATTCTAATATGTTGAATGAATGAATGAATGAATCAATCAATCAATAGACGTTGTCATAGTAGTTGACAACATTGTAGAAGACCTTCTGAATGTCTGAGTGAAACAAGTAAAAATAAATGTCCTAATGAATGAATGCAATAGGTATTGACATGACTGCAGTTATTAAACTCCCATATATTTCCTGTGTATCATTTTAAAGCCAACAAACAGCTCCCATGCCGATACTGCTAGCAGCAACCTGCTCAAATGTCCACTATATTTTCCCCTGGTCTTTGACTTTTGTCTAGCATCCTTCTCAGGCTTCACCCAATCATTCTCACAAGCAGTTTTTTTTTTGTCTTTCGTACACGGTACCAGCACCTTTTATAGGCATCGTTTATTTTTCTGTGCTACTGTAATAGATGATAATAACATCAAGGAAGATTGGCTGATAAACAGCATCCTGTCTTGGAAGCTGAAATATTTTGGTCATATCAAGTGCCACGACGGATTGGAAAAAATAATAGCAGAAAGCATGGTACCAGGAAGGAGGGGCAGGGGCCGACCAACATGAAGATGGGCACAGGATATAAGTGACTCCTTGAGTATGAAAGCATACGAGGTGGGAAAGTTGGCAAAAGACTGAGTTTTTTTCAGGCAGACCGTGATGGGAGCGACCTTCTGCTACATGATGATGATGATGATGACCATAATAGATACTTTGTGGTAAGTACTGGCAACTTTTCTTCTAGCCCTGCTCCCAGGTGTAAACACTCTTCTGCTTCGTTATCCACTTGATCTCATAATACTGACACAACATCAAACTTATAATAAATAGTCTGCCAACAAGAGAAGCAGCGGCCTGTTCAGTGTGTTGTAGCAAATTATATAAAGCTTTCCATGTATCTAGAATAATGCTGATCTAAAAACTGTCTAATAATAATTAACAAATATTAATTAACTCATAAATGCAGGAACTAATCCATACTAGTTAGGGCACAAACTTGATAATCAATGTATTTGTAATAGTATAAACTAACTCGCAGAGCAGTGCATAAACTCACACAACAATAGTCTTAAAAAGAGAACAATTAATTTGCTGGTAGAACAAAGATTACTTAACAGAAAATAACTACAGAATATTCATTATTTCATTCTATGAAATTCCAAAAAATAAATAATCATAGGGTTTAAAAAAAAGACTATGTAAGTGAATAAACTGTCAGAAAAATGCATTCATTCACACAATAACAAATATTTAAAATAATTTTTATGCTCATACAATAAAGCTTAACTAAGAGAACCAACCCATAGAAAAATTCTTTATTTCACATAGAAATAATCTTTCAACATAGACAACTATTAAATTTCTCAGAGAACAAAGAATAACGAAGATGATCAACTAAAAATTAAAGAATTTATACGCCCAAAAAAAAAAAGAAACAAGAAAATTCAGCAATGATTAAAACATCACAAAACAACTGAAAGCAAAATGAATGTTTAATGTTGAATTAAGAATCAACATCATGGCACTCAGGACACCCCCATAAGCACTCCGTCTCCATCTTCAGCAGCAAGTGAAGAGTTAAAATTCCAATGGTACCAGTAACTGCCTGATTATATATTAGTCTCACCTTTCCCCTGAGTGTCAAACGTCAGCCAGATCCCCTTCTAACTCCTCACAGCGCCATTTACAAAACAACTGAATTTGTAAACAAAATAATTAGTCTAACAAATGGAACAATGACTTATGATCTAACCTGTAAATCTTGTTTCAAAACAACTGAATTTGTAAACCAAATAATTAGTCTAACAAATGGAACAATGACTTATGATCTAACCTGTAAATCTTGTTGCCCAATAGTTTCCCCTCTCCTCTGGATCAGGTTCATCAGGGTGATCAAAGTACAGATGGGTTGCATGAGATAAAATAACCTGCACAATTGAACAATGAGATTAATTGAGCAGATCTTTCTTTCAAGAAGGGCAGCAAGAAACAAAGAAACAAACAAAACTATATATCCAGAAAGGGTTACAAAAGACTATCTGTCTAAGAATGTTATCATAAGGATATTTACTTGTCCATGAAGAGCTATACAAGGCCTTATTTCTGCCTCAGGGGAATTATAATTGATGATTTCTTTGCCCAAGATGGGCTAAACAAACCACCATAGTTTCTAAATAAATTTATGACCTTATCTTCTTCTTCTTCTGCTGTAATTGCGTTGTGTCCGTTTACAGCATGGCTGCGATATTTGCACCTTTAGGCCAACACATCTGACTTCTGTGGGCATTTATTGACCAGGTTAGCCTTCCCGGTGTGACCTTATCACATGTGTTTTTTGTTAGTGAAACTTAACATTACCCCCAGGTGGCGGTGGTTGTTGCTCTCACTCCAGGATTGCTGTCCAGAAGATGAACATCTCAATGATGAGAATTCTCTGGGTTGATCTGGGTAAAGTTTCAACATCCCTGCATTCAGGAAAAGCCCACACTAACTCCCTCTCTCTTCTCAAAAGCCAGTGAAGAGTCGTTCCTTACTGATGATACCAAATATCATCTGGTTAACTATCCCTCTTGCCCTTTCTTCTGTGTCTCAAGTGGTGCCCACAGACACTCCCTGCTGCATCATTCTCTCCTGGTACAGGATGATAATCAAACAGGAGCAAATCCACCAAAAAACCCTGTTCAACCATGAATAAATGAAGAATTGACATTACTGCACTTGGGACATTCCTTCAAGTGCTCTATCTCCTCCTTCAGCGGCCAACAAAAAGTCAATATGCTAATACTACCTGTTGCATGCTGATTAAAAGTCAACTCATGTTTTCCCTGCAGTGATTAATATTGTCAAAAACTCTCTAATCACCCCTTGCTGAATTAGTCCATGCGTTTGTGGACTGGCATCTGAGACAACAGATCATGTCCTCCAAAACTGTCCCAAATACAACATATCAAGGCGAAACTTTTGGCCAAGAGAAACATCTGTGCAAGTCAAACTTTACGGGTTCGCTGAGAAAATTTAAAAAAGAAACCACAGTGAAGTTCTACTAGAGACAACATTGCAGATATAGATAATTTATTTCAAGCGAACGAAAGAAGAAGAAGAAGAAGTTTGTCGTGTATGGATCCCTGGTCTGTTCTGTTGCACTGTCCACTTGATCAACCATATAACCCAGTTATATTAAGACAACCCCATTTTTTGACCTGCAGTCCATTGTCGGATGTGTGGGATGGTATTGGTGTGAACATGACCCACAACATGAAATAGTAATTTAATCAACAATTTTCTGTTCAACCTTTCTGGGTTATAATCATGAAATAAGTTTTTTTTTCCTTTAAATGATATTGGATATTTATATTTATGGGACGCTTTTGGCTTTTTCTTATTGCATAGATTAGGTTTTTATTATAAGAAATTTTAAGATTAAAAACTATTAATGTTAAATACAGTTTAAGGGGACTTAACTTGTCAAGAAAATGTTTTGCTTTACAGAGGGTTACAAATCTGACAGCCTTGTACCATGCTACAGCTTTTTTGTACTTTTGTGAGTGAGTGACTTTCTACCCCACTAGGACATCACACAAGCGATAAACACCCGATGACACAACGTGCCACCATGCGGATGAGGATCACCGTGGAGAGGTCCCAGAAACCGCGTTCAGGCATTTGGCCATTTTTATGGCCTGCCTATATTGCGGCCCCTGGCAAAAGCCAGAGTGGGGCTTCAAATAACAAAAAATTACGTCCTGAAAAGGACGTGAGGACTTGAAGCTATAAAACTAATATGACTTTTTGTACTTTTTTGAAATATTAGGTTTCCAGGTAGGTGAGGGATCATTTCAACAGGGTGGTATGCCGTACTAGCACAATATTTTTTTTTAAACAGATTAATCAGCACTCGATGGGTAATGTTGTTAATATCAAGTAAGGCTACCTTTACTTTCTAGAACATTTCCTAGTATTAATTTTTAGGTCTCTCAGAGCGGCTACCTGGTCCCCATTGTGGGGAAAACCAGAAGAGATCCACTGCCTACCAACTGGACTTCTAGTAATTTCCCCTGGTCTCTGGGTAGTAAGATTGGACACCCGTGTGTATTCTTGCCCGCATAAAAAAAAAATCCCTTCGCAGTTGGAAATCGAAAAGAGTAGCCTAACGGTTCTGCCCAGGAAAAAGTTGGATTTAGAAATATACCCAAATTATTTCAGGATCCTCCCCAGGGCTACGGAGCTCATGCACTGCGCTGAGATTTATCAGACTCAGGCTTGAGTTATAAGTAGAACAGAGCACTTATGGGTTACCACCCTTGTGCCTTGATGTTGATCCGTTGTATAAACAAACATGATATGCAAATTTAAAAAAACAAATATATACTCTGAGAACTCAATTACCACTATATATCCCAATCATAACCCTAAGGGTTGAACAGAATGTTTCTGAAAGATTACTACTAATACTACTACTACAAATACTACAACTACAAAGGCAGACAATTTCTGCCCAATTAGAAAGAATGCTTTGTAACACCATACCACACATGGCATGCACCAAAAGAGAAGGACATTGAGCATGAGCTAGACCAAGAAAAATACAGACAAAAAAAAAAAAAACCCCAAAAAAACAGAGGAACTCTACTACAGCACAATGTGGTTGAGGCGGTCAGAGAAGCAAGAGACAGAACCTTGTATTTTGCTTGACACCCGAAGTGGTAAAAGAGGACATGAAGAAGAAGATAAAAAAGGCGACTTTAACATTTGAAGAAACATAATAGTTGCTGTATTTACTTTGTATCCATGTTCTGCAAATTTGTAAGTACGAGACACTGTGCCTGGCTGCCATACATTGTTCCAGGCATTAGTTAGGACATCTTTTACAGGCGAGGTAGACCTGGGGCAGACAAGCTTGCAGTGATTAAACATGCCAAGGTGTTAAAAGCAAAATAATCATCATCCTACTGTGCCACAACTCATCACATAGGGCACAGTCTAGCCCTTCATCTCCTTCTATTCTGTGCAATCATTTCTATGTCATCGATGGACTCAAGTCAAGCTTCCCTTGGCTGTCCTGGACAATGCTCATCTTATGGTTTCCTTGGACATTCTTGTTTTCTCAATCCAGTTTTTCTCATTTCATTGCCTGTTTAGTGAGGACAGCCTACTTCTTCTCGTGATGGGCCCAATATAATTTCACCTCCCTTCCATCCCCCGGCGTGATGCTGACCACATCACCCATCTTGTGCCGATTGGTCTATAAAATATAGGGTAGCACTATATGCCCTATATGCCTAAAAGCATGGAAAAGGGGTCTTTTATTTTACTTACTTCTATCCCTCTCTTCCTTACCCCCTCCCATCACAGGAGCTATAGAATTCATGCTTTGTGTTTGATGCTCTCAGCAGACAGCTGTTCTGCAAAGAGAGACTGAGCCATATAGGATATCCTGGCGTAATAAAGTCGATCCTCTCAGTGTTAACTTAACTTTAAATTTATAACTGTTGAAACAAGCTGTTGTACAGACATTTATTAGTTTATTTTCCTTTTTGTTTTCTATTTTGTATGCATCATTTTTCGGCCATGTTATGAGAAGAGGGAAAATAGAACATGTTGTGACCACTGGAAAGATCTGTGGAAGGAGGGACAGAGGAAGACAATGAGAAAAGATGTTTGACAGTCTTGTTGCATGGCATGGAGGTGTGGCGGCACATGAACTGATACATGCTGCAGGAGATCGCAGATTATGGAGAGGCATGATTGCCCACACCAGTCGGCAAGGCACCTGATGATGATAATGTAAGTTGTCAAACATGCCAACCCAATGCTAACACCAACTGTGAATCTGTGTTCAAAGATCATGAGGAGAACTCATACAATGAAATGACCAGGAGTTTGTTTTGATCACCGTTTTTTTTTTTTAAACGGCCGTGTTGATCATGTGATAATAAAAGTGAAGAAGGTCCGACTGTGACAAGGATAATGGCTGCGACAAACTAAGCAGTGTCACTTTATTCTTTTATACCAGGGTCAGGTCCTTTCTGTAATTGAATATGCTCTGGCGATTCTGATTCTTAGACATAGACAGACAGAGAAACCAGACAAGATATAGATTGACGCCATATGTATCATATTTAGATCAGGATCCTCGCCAGTGCCATGGAGTTCGTGCACTGCACGAGATTGTTCAGACCCAGGCTTGAGTTAGAAGTAGAACGGAACGCTTATGGGTAACTACTCTTGTGCCACGATGTTGATCCGTTGTATAAACCTTTCATATTTGGATGCACAAAGAATATGGCATGCAGGTTGCTGCATTACCTTCTTGATCTTTCATCCATGGCAGTTAGAATCTCACATGCACCTAAGTATCTACCATTCAGTATTGACATACATCACCCATTGAACAGTGAGATTAGCAGGAATCAATCAATCAATCAATGTTGACCACCTTCAGCTGAACATTGCTGCTCATCTCTTTGCCACTTTTCTGGAAGCTCATCAGTGAGAATTTGCAGGAAAAAAATTAGCAGGTTAAAGAGGGGGAAACCTTGGATGGATCAGGCCGAGGATATTATTCAACAGGTTTGTTCACATGAGGCCATAGAACCTGGAGAAGAATGGGTACAAGTGTCGTTAGAGTGGTGTACATCCCTCTCAGTCCATACTAAACTAGACAGAGACTGCAGACAACAAAACCCACTGGTGGTGGAGGTTCAATCTTTAATCCTTAAGAATTATGCTAATGGAGGGGCAGTTATTCACACTAAAGGATCCGTCATTCGACGTGAGCAAAAATCAGCTTCAACAGTTTTGGTTGGGGGAGAACTGTAAAGAAAGTTAGCGGTGCTTTTGTCTTGATTGAAGGTAGTCTGATGAAGGTGATGGTAGCAACAAAAGCAATGATGTGGCTAGAGACACAGACTTTTCCCATGCATGCTTTCTGATCCCATAAATATGCCTAAGAATACAGAGATGGGTTCACGGACACTGGTTGCAGCATCTGAGGAAATACCATCTAACAGTAATAAGTTTCATTTTTGTGTAAGGACACTCTGGGATAAAAGAAAATGACTCAGCAGACTAGCTTGCTGGTAAAACCATGATATGCATACCTTACGGTCTGATGTATCAAAAGATGGCATAAGATAAACATCTGGTACCTATTTTAAAACCTGCTGTATCGAGAGAAGTTATGCAATTAATGCATGGCACCTATATCACTTTCCTTTAGTTTCCTCCATAATTCTCAAGCAATATCGAACAAATTAATTCCCTACCGGTTAGCCGGACCTGTCAATTGATCATTGTTATTTCAACATGGTGGAGTTAAAAACACATTAAAAAACACTTAAACAATCGGAGGACAGAGAATAGATCCAGAAATAAAAACAAGATGCCAACGAGCCAGCGAACTTATTTACCAACTGACACGGTTATTAAGATATCCAAACATAAGTTTGAGCACCGGAATAGAAATAGATTGTAAACAACATATTCATATCTACACTATGCTACCAGTGCCAGACTCTGATATTATCAAAGGCTAACCTAAAGAAAATTAACACCTGTGAAATGAGATGCCAGAGAAAAGTCATCTGAGATAAAGTTAGAAATGATATTATCAGACAGACTGTGGGAACAACAACATCATGCAGCAAATTCACTGAGAAACAGAAGATCAAATGGTTTGGTCATCTAGTAAGAATGCAGTCCAAACAACTACCAATGCAGGTGCTGTACATGAAAAGATCTGATGTGAAAGTAAGAGGCCACCCTAGAAAAAAAAGGACTGATGACATTAAAAAGCTTCTACATGGACATGGAATGACAATAGCCACTGCTACTCATCAAGCAATGGATTACAAATTGTTCCTTCCCACATTCCTTGGTGTCAGAAGTGGAAATTGATGATGATGATGATCTATTTCACAAATCTATTTTATTAAACCCCATTAGTGATGTTGACATCATTTATCCTGGTCCTCTTTACTTCCCATAACATTTTCATAAATTCACACTGAGACAATTTAAACCAAAGCCGATAGCCAAGAATTTAATGACTGTAAAGCACTGGATCCAAGTTGCATCTAGAAATTAAAAAATAAAAAGTGACAGAGAAACTCACAAGTTGAATGGATTGTCTTCACTGTCCATTAGGCCATCCTCCCAGGCAGCGAGAGATAAACTTTTATTTGCTGCTAGCTCTGCTACTCTCTGAAAAAAAAAAAAAACCAGCATCATTTTTTTTTGGGTTAAAGTCTGAATTTTTGTAGGAAACAGCTCATTGAAAAGCTCTTCTACCAAGTAAAGAAATCAAGCAAATAAAGGTAGCTATGTAATGTTCACCATCTGACAAACTGAGTAGGTTTTTTTCTTCTTTTCCAGTATTGCAGTCTGTAGAATTAACATCACAAGAATGAGAATCAAACAAGTACAAATCTGGGAAAATTCATTTAGCCATAAAGCACAGTTATATTGGTGCACAGCAAAATGATTATAAAGTATCCTGTAGTGGGCTGTTTGAGTACTAACTAGATCCTTACATTATATTATGGTAATGGGGTTCAGCAAAAAAATACTTTCTTCTGTGAAAGAATTATTTATTGCAAATTTTTTTTCAAACAAATTAAGGTGATCTCTGTGACGACAATGTAAAGCCATTTGTATTGTGCTCCTGAGGCTGTGGATTTGTTTCAAGGACACACGGTTCAGTTCTCCTTCTTTTGTGTTCACCAGCTATAAACTTGAGTGGAAAGTTCTAGTTGTTTGTCCACCTCTGGACTTAAGTCTTTTTTTTTTTCCGGAACCTGAGCGTTGCTTGCAGAACTGACTTATATTTATACAGATTAATGGTTCCTTGTCTCTCAGGCAGATGCACTCTAAAAGAAGTGCCCAATTAGTCGACTCTTACGACATGCTTCTTTTCTTGTTTCCCTCACTATGGGACCCCAGAACCCACCCAGGATGTTCATTTCACGTGCAGTTCTTTAGAAGATCCATTAGCAACATCAAAGGAGCTATGGAGTTAGTGCTTTCTGCAATACTCTCAGCATCCAGCTAACCATTTTACGGAGAGAGACTGAGCTTCATCTTCATCTTATTCTCCATTCCTTCTGTCAGAAAACTTATATCAGTAGGCCAGCAGTCTTGAGGAAGGCTGCTATGCAGTCCAAATATCCCCATATACCATACAGCTTTATCTATAGACTAAGCCAAATGGGATAAACCCAGTGAAATGAGGTTGAAACTAGCTAGTTAGCTAGTCAGTCAGTCAGTCAGTCAGTCAGTCAGTCAGTCAGTCAGTCAGTCAGTTGGGTTATCATCATTGCATTCCGAACATGTCCACAGGTGCTCAGATTCTCAGGACATGTCCATGGGTACTCATATCCTCCCCTCAGCATGAACCCAGAGTCTGGTGGCTTATAATATCAGTTTCTATGTTGATTAACAAGTCCTTTGATATGCCTGATGTGCATCTTATTTTTGCTATGTAATCTTAACAATAAAGTCTATCATTCTGGCAAGTGATGTGGATTCATTGTCCCTAAAGTTGAACCTCATGACTTTAATCTGTATTCTATAAAGAAATTAAGGTATAATGAAAAGATTTCATACCAAACAAAAAGTAGAACTAGTCAGCTTCACATTATCACAACCTCAAACAACAAGTTAACATTACGGCTATAAAGCCTTCATCAGCACATTACATGAACAGGCAATGTTACAATTGGTAACCCTTAACCCTGGGGAGCTCGGTGGCGAAGTGATCAAGCCACATACCTCGTGTTCTGAAGGTTCACTTCACCGCTTCGCTGTTCAGTTCACGAGTGTAATTTTTACGGAGATCCCTGAGGATTGTCACCTGAACTATGGAGTCCATGCTCTGTGTGATGCTATCAACAGGCGGCTTGCTGTTCTGCAGAGAGAGACCTAGCCATATAGGATAAAACCTGGTGCAATGAAGTTGATCCTCTCGATTTCAACTTTAACTTTCAAATTTAACAATTACAAACAAAATCATGCAGCTGAAGTATCTCCTAGAGAAATCCCCATGCCTCTCTGCCCAGTTGAAAATCCTTCATTTAAGAAATTAAGAACTACCTACATTTAGTTGTAGAGTGTAAAGATTTTAGTACACGTAATAAGGAAAAAAAAACTTGAAAACTTAAGGACAGCTGCCAAACTTGATGAGAAAAGAGCAGAGAAATAAGTAAAAGAAGTAAAGTACCCTTTTCCACATCTTTGGCAGTATTGGGCATACTGGGTGAGTTCTATATATTTTTAGACCAATCGTGGGTGTTTTGGTCAGCAAGCATCTAGCTCCTAAATCACGGCGGCTCATAAAGAAATAAAGAATACACTAATTACTGATAACAGAGCAGAAGATCAAAGAACAAATTTACCTGAAAAAAGTACCCTTTCAAAGAGCCTCCAGGTAAAGTAGTTGATGCTATCAATTGCTGGCAGCGTGAGGAGTTCACCCAGGCACCTTTACCAACCTCATCACCACCAAAATGGAATATTTTCAATGGCTGTTGACCTTGTATGTGAAGGCTGATGAGCTGTGGACAATAACATTCAAAAAATGCAGACACACAACAAACATTGCGCAATTTATTGCCTGGCATATTTCACTGTATCTCACCAAGTGCTTTACTACAGCATTTAAATCAATAGATAATGAGTACTAACAGCTACAAAAGTTAATACTTTCAACTGAAATGCACAGATTACATTGTCTTTTGCCACACTGCACATCTCACCAACAGAAGTTTAAGTTTAAGCATGTGATCACCAAAGTATTCAAAGATTAAACACATAATCCTTTTGTTTGTGGGGATTTTCTCTTTTAACTTTAACTCAAGGAATGCATCATATGTTCATAGGTTCCTGCCTAGAAGCCCAATGAACGTAAGATGCACCGATTTTACATCTCTTTTGACTACCCCTTGGGCCTCTGATGCTAAACCCCCGGTACTCAAAGAGTTAATTGCCCTAGCTTCCACCAGTTTCAATAATCGCCTATTCAGTATGTATCAACGAACTCAGAAGGTATACAATTAACTACACAGATCAAATTAAATTAAAACTCAAACACAGGATGCAAAAGTATTGAGAAAGAGGCATTAACCCTCAGCATAAACTAACCATCACAGGAGTCTGTTGACAGAGAAATACATAAAACCTATAAATGGAAACATTTACCAATATCAACCTAATCCAAGTCAATAAATATACTATGATGACCTGTTACATTCAAATATGCCTCTTCAAGTATCGCTCTTGCAAATACATCTGCTTTCTTGCTTTCTGAGCTTGTACATGTGAAAAACAGCTGCCAATGGAGTTGGTCCAAAGTCTTTAAATGGGAAGGATGGGTATTTCCATCTTCACCTACTGCCATCCAAGATGTTCAATTGTCCACAGATTGAGGGTGTGATATGTTAATATATCTGTGGTTGAAACTGCTGTGTTCAATACAGTTTTCTCTACTTGGTAGAAGAGCTCTGCAATGGCTGTCAGTGTTTTAGTTCTTAGTTTGTGGGGTGAAATCTGCTTAAAGTAACATGGGTCCTCATACCTTCTGCTCACTCTGCTCCTGCCATCAATTAGATTAGAACTTTATTTATAACAAATTTCTTGTCTTATAGCATTCTTAAACTGGCACACAACAGCAAAAGAAACTATCCAGAGTTTGCATTTGGAAATGCAGATACAAAATAACCATACAAAATTATTTTTTTAATTTAAAAAAAAAAGAGAGAGAGAATGAGACAAACCTCAAACCTTGAGCTATCGCATAATGCAGGGCAATTAAACTAAATTTACTCACAGGCCAAAATTTTTGGAAAGGGGGAAATCGTCACTGGCCAGAGGCCTGAGACCAAGCATAGAAATATCATTAATAATCCTGAGCTGTATTAATACAATACACTTGGTAGGTGATACACGGGCCACTAGTTAGGCCTCTGTTGTCCAGATTTGGCCCGCGGGTCACCAGTTGAAAAACCCTGGCATAACGTTTGAGGTCTGTCTGTCTCTTTCTTTTTATTTTTTTTATTTGGGTGCTATATCACAGACAATGAAAACTTCCTTGTAGCTGTACACACAAGGATGTTAGCTAGAAAGCACTTCATAACCTAAACTGAAAGGCACAAGAGCAAGAGCTGACAGAAGACGATGAACAAATACCTCAGTCATGATAATATTGACAAAATTGTAGGTGGACTCCAGACATGGGTTGATAGCATTGTCAGAATACATCTGGGGGGAAGTGTATTCTGATGGATCATTTGCTTCAGCCAAGACTGTGCTCACACCACCACTTCCTTGTGTGCTGTTCCTAAGCTATTGCAAGAAGGACAAACTAAATATAACATAAAAATGCTTCATAATAAAAAGTTGGCTAATATTACATTTCATTTATTTGTTAACTAATTTAGTACTAATCACACATTAGTTATTTACTTTTTTAAATGCAATGCTTTTCATCATAGAGTGTTCCCCATTGTGGCTGTTTTAATCTTCTTTACACTGTTATCGGGTTGCACCCCAGTGTCATAGTTTTCTGTTTTTGTCTTGCATTTCTGGAGTGGCTTGAGCAGCAGATTTGTTCGTCTTTTTTAGCAAAATTCAACAGCAGTGTCTTTTCCTTGGTCTTATTCTCACATTCCACCCAGATGTTCATCTGTCGAGATATCACATAGGTTGGCCTGGCAGTATTATTACTAGTTGGCCAAACCATTCTGTCTCTTTTGACGTAATTCAGGCACGGTTTTGTTAGAACCTTCTCTCTAATGCTTGTATTTATGACTCTGTCCCTTCTTGTGTTGTTTCTGACCTTTCTGAAATAGTACTTTTCAGATAGTTATCTTCTGTTCATCTTCTTCTTCTTCTGCCTTTCTATCCGCAAATGGAGCAAATGGCCCTCAACCAACTCAGTTCTCTCCCAAAAGCTCTACATTAGTTATTCTCTCATACCATTTAATTCCTTCTATTCTGTGCAGGCATCAGTTAATGAATGTTTGTAGTTTATTAGTAATTGCCTTAGTTGTTCTCCATTTTCCGCCCCATTCAAAAGTACTAATTTGATATTAGAATTAAACATTTTTTTTCTTCTGTTCATGTGCTCCACTAATTTTCCATGTTTAGAATCGAGAGTATAGTGTGGGTAAAGATGCCATTAATCCTTTACTGGTTCATTTGTTTCCCTGAAATGAAACTTGCAGGTACTGCACAGTGGGGCTAGCTGGAAAATAACAGGATTTGCCTTCTAAACTTTAGCTTTAATCTCTCTGTTGAGTCTGTCATCTTCTGTAAATATATTTCCTGAGTACTGGAATCCCTGCACTTGTTCGACTGTAGTACAATTGTTTTAATGTTGGCCCATGTTAGACCAGATGTTACTCAACTCTAGTTGCAACTTAGTTCTGGTTATTAAATCCCTCTAGATTTAAACATTAATGTAAGTAACAAATGATTATAGATCAATAAGTTCAACTTCTGCCATTGATGGCTACATGGGCATTGTAAGTTAAGTTCTTATAAGTTTTTTTGCATTCACCAACTCTAAACTCTGGTGGAAAGATCTTGTTGTTTATCAACTTGTGGACGTTGGTCTCTTCCAGAATGTGAGTTTTGTGTGCATATCCATTTTACAGATATGGTTCATTTGAATGCAGACTGCTGGTTCCTTGCCTCTCAGGCAAATGCATAAAAAAATGATAAATTTGTGCGCTGTGAGGAGTGGGTCAAACTGTCCAAGCAGGTTTTAGACTTGTAAAGGGTTCTTATCACTTTGGGACGTGAGTGCAGGGACTCGCCAGCTGGCGCTGCAGAATCAGAAGTTTAACAAATGATTCATACAACTGCCACCCAAGTGATGTGATTATCTATACAGATGGCTCTGTGTTGAGGGGCAGACAAAGTGCATGGGGGTTCATAGAAGAAGCGAATGGATGTCGCTTAGTGCAACAAAGCCCGGAATATGATATTGCAACATTTAGTTTGAGAATGGTGGTGGAGGTAGTCACTGCTGCCTTCCGCTGGCTTGAGAATCAGCTGTACATACATGCCATGATTATAACTGACTCACAGAGCATGTTGAGAAAGGTGGAGACAGGTATGCTCCATGCAGAGTGGCAAGCATCACTTCAGAGTTGCTGGATAGTTAACATCTTTTGGATATTCACTCCAGGTTATGCCTGTGTGTTGGGAAATTAGCAGGCAGACAGACTCGCCTGTTCTGCACCACTTGGTGGTGAACTAATGTATGACAAGCTAAATGTTGTTAGGGAACCCTGGGGCAAGTGATAAGTGCGGAAGCTGAGGAGAATGGCGCTGCGTGGAGTTACCAGGAAACATTCAAGGGAAAGGCGAGTTGCTGGTGTCATCGGAATTGGAATTTGTTCGCTGAAGATGGAAACAGAGCGCTTACTGGAGTGTCCTGAGTGCTATGATGTCGATTCTTCTTAATTCAACATTCAGGCAGATGCATTCTGAATCTAAAGGACACCTAATTAGTCGCTTTTTATAATATGCTTGTCAAGGAGCAGTTGGTCTATGATTATTTTTCCCTAAAATAGATCCAGGAAGCCGGTATGAGGATGAACTTTATGTCACGTAACCAGTCAAAGCCACCCCTTCGTCTTGGACTCGTCTAGATTTTGTCACCTCTACGCAGATAATGGTAAGTTTAAAAATTGACCTGCCTCTATAGGTATATAGTGTATCTTTTGTAAATATAGGTTTTTGGGTTGAGTAAAGTACTCCTATATGTCCTAATTCTCTTGGGAATGTTATAGTTTTGAATCTGTAATTGTAGGTGAGAGATTCATTGGTAATTATTGCCAAAATCCTATGGACAGATCCCCGCCTGGGATGGGTGAATTTTTCCCTGCCTTTTTAGAAAGAGACTTGTGTGTCAGAACTATTCTCGATCAAGTCTCCATCATGGAAGGATGCTTTTTTTTGCCTCTGTGCTTATTTCTGTCCAAATTGAAGAAACATACACGTTTCCTAGAAGAATCCAGGGCTTGGGATTTTAATCTCCTTGGAGATCAGATCGGCAATCATCATCCATCCACATCACCAGTAATCCTTACCACCAGCTGCCAGAAGATACTACCATAGGCCTGTCGACATGTCTGTTCCTACGCCCAGGTAGTGGCCAACCCTACCATTGGGAGAGATCCATCACTAGGGAGCTGCAGGGTGAAGCCAGAGGTTGCCTGTCATTGTTGTCTACATGATTGGTGACAATAGACAATATTATACATTGTGAACAGTTGCAGCAGTTTAGGTATTAAGGATTGAATAGTACCTTGGTGCCAACCATCCCAGATGCAGAAATTATGTGCTACAGTGGATCTCTTCCCATATGCCCGATGCGCCTAAGGGCCTGTAAAGGGATCTTTACTTTTTTTACTTACAGTGGATGGGACTTTGATACAGATAAGTTATATTCCAGAGGTTGTGGTCACTCTTAACATGAAGTGCCTAGTCCACTGTGCCTTGATTTCACAACAGTGCCATGATGATCTTGGCTGCTACTGAGAGCAACCCTTGTTCTAATCATTTATGAACTGTCTGTGTCTCCTCAGTGTCATTGATTTTATTGAACTCTTTTGCCTTATCCTTGTATTGGTTGAACTTATTACAATATGTTTTATGAATTCTACCTTCTCGGTTTAGTTTCCATCTTTCAATGTTCCCAGTTGCCTGAAGTGTGTGCAGTATTGATATACTATCTGTTTAACTGTGTTATCTTGACTAGGATAGGATACTGTCTAGTCTGGGGGCTTAATTGAAGTAGTGAGGAAGTCAGGCCAAGTTGTGCCTAGGAATATTTTATGTTCTGTAGGGCCATAATTTGCGTCACCTACCCCTGAAGTAGGTTGGATGTTCATTGGAGCTATGGGATTCCGCCTAGACCATTGTGAGCCAACATCTCAACATTTTATATCTACTTCAGAGTGCTAATTGGTTTATCAGGGGAAACCCTTACCAAGGCACGTGACATCAGTAGTATGTTTTTTTTTTTTGTTTTTTTGTTTTTTAATAGATCACCGGCTGTGAATTCCAGTGGAAGGTCCCGGTTAATCAATCGTCCGCTTGGACTTTTCGCTTTCACCTGGATCTGATTTTTGCGTGTACAACCGTTTTTCATTTCCCTGCCTCATGGGCAGCTGTACTCCGACTTCGAAGGAAGACGTCAGGCCTATTTCTAGGTTGACTGTGGCCATTGTTTTGTGTGGGTCGAGACGTTGCCTGATTTGTGTGGTGTCCACTTTGTCTCCTCCGCAGGTATTGCACTCGGAGTACCCCTTTGGGGCAGCCCCCTGTGGAACAGTTAGCCCTCAAGGGAAGGCAGGGGCAGATCATGGGAATTCCCCGCCATCCAAGGAGGCTTCCATGCATGCAGAGCCGGCACATGGCGCTCTGGTTCTGGGCTCACCCAAGGAATCGTCACGTCCTGCACATGCCTGCTTAACCTCACAACCGTATCAGGCCTCCCGCTCGACAGGGGCTGCGCCCTCTGGAAGTCAGCGGGGAGCAGCCCGTGGGTTTTGGACTTTTGTGACCACACAGATAGGTACATTCTTTTTTCTTTCCACGTTAGATTTCTTTGACGAGCCGTTAGCCCGACAGAATTTTACATCCTGCATCAGGCATATCGTTATCAGTTTTGTCCCAACACTCGGGTGAGTGGGGTCTTTGGGTGTGGACATTCGGTCTTTTTCAGTTCAATACAAATTTTGATGGTCAGATTTTGATCCGTATGATCTAGTTTTGTCGGACAATTAGGATGGTTGCTGTTGTGGTGTACCTCAGCGCGGTGTCGACGACACTGAGGGTTAACCGAGGATGTACATGAATGGCCAGCCTATGGATGGTTGCTGTTGTGGTGTACCTCAGCGCGGTGACGACGACACTGGGGGTTAACCGAGGATGTACAAGGATGGCCAGCCTGTGGATAGTTGCTGTTGTGGTGTACCTCAGCGCGGTGACGACGACACTGAGGGTTAACAGAGGATGTGCAGTGAACAATGTTCTCTTTACTCCGCAGTCTTTTAACCAAGGGTTGTAATTTTGGCTGGTTTGGCAAACCTACTCATGTTCCTAATGAGTTTTGATAACATTTTTCACCCAAGCGTTTGGGGGCGGGCTGATGAGAGCCACAAGGACACATCACCTCTGGGGGCCGCCGAACTCCGAGATCCCCTGACAGCTCTGTTAATGCTCACTTGAGACATTATCCGTGGCGCACGACGAGGACGTGCTGTAGGGGTCTTGCGTGAGGTTCCGTACAACCAGGATAGTTAAGGACTGGCGCCCGAGTGACGTACGGAGTATCTCCTTATACACATCATGTTGGACTTAACTTCCCCTCACGCCTGTGACATAAATCACCGCGCCACCAGCAGTATGTGACAGTTTAGTAAATTCATTGCAGATTGTGAATGGGGATATGTAATACTGAATACTGTATATTGAATATTACACTATGGCTCTACTTTTATATTAAAACTTTTAAACAACAATTTAGTTTACAAAACAAATAAGTACAGAAGTTTTCCTATGTCACTCTTTCAGCCCTTTTAGCTATGCTATGGAAGACATAACAAAAACAAAATCAACCTTCATTGACAAAATAGCTGCCCTCCCATGTCCCGGCATTTCAATTTCTGGTATGACCGTCACATGGTGGGCATTTGCCAGCCGCAGTATCTCAATGTAATCCGCTGAGGTCAGGAAGCCACTGCCAGGGGGTCCTGCTTGGTTAGGACCAGAACCCAGCTGAGGCATTAGGCACTTGGTCTCTGTGGGGTCGTAACATCTTTGGGACCCTAACTGTTTTCAAATAAAATATACAACTTGAAATAAAACATACTCCTTCTTAACAAGCAAGGAAAAACATTACATTAAATAAGTCTACTACTTAATCTGTGTAAGTATGTGGGTGTATGTGTGTGTGTATTTAGGTATTTTTGCAATTATGTATGTATTTGTGTAAGTATGTGAGTGTATGTATGGATGTGTGTATGCATGCAAGTATTTAGGTGTACGTGTACGTGTTTGTGTGATTGTATGTGAGTGTATATGTGTGATTGTGGGCATATGTGTGTGTGTATATATAAGTGTCTGTATATGTGATTGTGTGTGTGTGTGTGCATGCATGTGTAGGTGTATATGTATGGACAGTGTGTGTGCATGTATGTCTATGTATGTATGTGTGTGTGTTGATATGTATGTGTGTTGGTGTATGTATGTATGTATGTTTGTATTATGTATGGATGTAGGTGTAGCCTATGTATGTATGCATGTGAGTGTATGTGTGTATTTGTGCATTTATGCATGTCAGCGTGTGGATGTATGTATTACATATGTCTGTAAATGAATGTGTATGTATGAGAATGTAAGAGTATTTGTACATGTGTGTATGTATGTTTGAGTGTATATGATTGCGTATACATGATGTGTGTATGCATTATTCTATATTGTATATTTTTAAATTATAAACATAACATGCATTATTGATAACAGGCATTGGTACTCTGAGAGATTAGTGCTAAGAAAGGGCTGAATTTCACATGCCCAATTTGTAACCCTTTGAAAATAAAGTTTATTCTGTTTATATACACATATATTTTTAAACTTTGAACAGTGGCATTCACTGGGGTAATGAGATGTTCTCATTATAATTATTAGGAGATGAATCAGGCAACTAAAGTTTGCTCTACTTAATTAAAATCTAATATGTGACTCTCAAAATCAGATGCAAGACAAATTAAACTTACCTGAGGAGAGATCACAATAATCCCGTCTAAAAATTCCGAAAGTATAGGCAAAGATAATGAGAATAAATCAGGCATACAGTAGCCTGGTTTCTCTTGGTAATAACTCAGTCCAAGATGTAGAGTCATACATCCGTTTAGGCAGTAATGTAGGTAAAGATGGGGAAACTGATAAGATTATTTTTCCAGGAAAGACTAACCCAGTCAACAAATGCTCATAAAAGTCGAATGTCTCTGCCGAAAAGCACAGTTATTGCAACCATACATTAAATGGGCACAGTGCAAAAACATCTTTGGATGTACGCAGAAGAAACAACACACCTATTTAGACAGTAATGTAGGTAAAGATCAGGGACTGACAGAAATATTAAAATCTGAATACAAGGAAAGAGGAGTTTTCATAGGATTGGGAAACTGGCAGGAGGCACAGGAAATTAAAACTAATATTAATCTCAGAATAGATAAATCGCAGAAAATTATGGTTGTTTGTCTACTTCTTGACTTTAGTCTTGTTTCAAAACTTGAATTTGGCTTATTTGTATGCAGACTGTTGGTTCCCTGGCATCCAGGCAGATGCACACTGACTTCAAAACAAAAAAACTCTTACTTACTCGCCCTTTACAACATGCTTGTTAAGGGGGCAGTTGGATTTCCCTTCCCCTAATATACCAAAAACTCACTTAGGGAATTTCTGTGGGTTAGTAGTGCTCCTTCCCCATCGTTAGCAGCCAGCGCAGAGTTCCAATACTAATGGTACCAGTCATAGTCTGCTTGCATGTCCATCTTGCCTTTCCTCTGTGCGTAATGTGCCAGCCGAACCCTCTGGTCACGCCTAGTTGCATTATTCTCTCCAGCCCATAATAATCTAGTTTCTCTTCTGACTTTGTTAGTTTTCCCGAAGGGCTCTGACTACATCTGCCTCGTCATTTATCAATTCACCACCCTGCAGTGCAGATCCAGCCAATCTGTCTCCCTGTTACTTGAGAAAAGATCCAAAGTGTGCTCACTACCCGTGACCTTGCAAGTGAAGCTTGCCGCTCTGTTCGAAGCAATCCTGTCTTGAATCCTGGCTGAGTAGTTAGAAAAGCATTTATGTGGGTGAATAGTTAGAAAAGAGTTTATGTGGGCGAGTAGTTAGAACAGCATTTATATGGATGAGTAAAATAAAAAACAATAAAAAAGCAATATGTTTAACAGGTAATACCGTTGTCAACTCTGGCAGCTGTGGAATGTTGATTCTCCAGCCTTCATCATCAGACAAATGGAGATGGAGCCGATTCAGTTTGTAGCTGGACATCAGCTGGAAAAAATTTATGAACAGACGTTTAATAGGTTTTTTCTTATGTCCAACAAGAACTGTTTTATATACAGCTGTGTGTTATTACCAGTTTACAGTTAGATGGCACATCCAGTAAGTACTCAGTGATAGATTTCTTTTTTGCTTTCACCTGATGGCAGTCAGAATTTGAAAAGAGTAGCCTATCAGCGCTCTCCGGGCAAAATTTGGAGTTAAAAATCTACCCAAAGTATTTCAGGATCCTCACCGGTGCTACAGAGCATGTGCACTGTGCTGAGCTTCTTCAGCCTCAGACTTGAGTTTGAAGAAGAACGGAGCATTTATGGGTTACTACCCGTGTGCATGATGATGATTCGTTGTTCGAAACTTCAGATTGATGTGAACTGGCAGAAAGTTCTGATTGCTGGTACTCCTGAGTTCTGAATGCACATCTGTTTTACATATGTGGCCTTTTTAAGTGCAGACGTGGTTCCTTGCCTCTCAGTCAGATGCACTCTGGCTTCAAAGTTTAAACCTCTAACAAATTGACTTTTACAAGACATGCCTGTAGCACGGGGTGGGTGGTGGGGATGGAGGGAGGGGGGATGGGGGTGGGTGGTGGGGATGAGGGGAGGGGGATGGGGGGGGGTGGTGGGGATGGAGGGAGGGGGGATGGGGGTGGGTGGTGGGGATGGAGGGAGGGAGGATGGGGGGGGGTGTTGAGACATTTCTTCTTCTTCTTCATGTTCACCAGCTGTAAACTCTAGCGGAAAGTTATGGTTGTTCGTCCACTTTTTTACTGTAGTCCTTTTCCATAACCTGAGTGTTGCAAGTGCATCCGTTTGACAGATCTGATTAATTTGTGTGCAGACTATTAGTTCCTTGCCTCTCAGGCAGATGCACTCCAACTTCGAAGGAAGCTTCCAATTAGTCAACTCTTATGACATGCTTTTGGGTAGGCCGTGGGTCTATTCTTATTTTCCTATAATAGGGCCCCGGAACCCATACAGGGAGGTAACACATTTAAGCAGCTAAAGAATATGACTTACATACATTCAGAAGATAAAACTAACATTTGCTTGGGTGAAACTCTAAAAAAAAATACAAACAAAATATTCACAACACATGGATGACTATGTCCGTTATTAGACTGGGAATAAATATTCAACAATAAATTTGTGGTAACAGTGGGGAAACTGGTCAGTTAATACTAAACAATGTAACAACATGCTTTGTGTGAAAAATCTAGCAATAAAATTTAAACAGTAGAAACAATCATCTCATCCAGAGCTTCTAAAGATGTTCACTGATCTGCCACTGTTTGATATTCTCTGTTCTGTTTGGGCAGATGCAAAGGGTTCCAACACACATAAGTAATTCCTACCTTTGATACATGCATTTATGTTCTTTTGGACAAGCAATAAAGAGAAATAAATTTGTCTTCTTCTTCGTGTCTTCTTTTTCTGTGTTCACTCTTAAAAGGCTATTTGATACACTGTTTTGTGATTTACAGCTAAGCTGAAAAATTTGTACCTTTCAGCGAAACACGTCTGATTTCAGTACAACCTTACTTAGAATACATTTTACTACATTCTTACTGAGGGGTAGTGTTGTTTTTAAAAACAATCCCACCAAAGTGGGATCCTGGAACCTAAAGGGAAAGACAATTATATAAAGTTAGCATGTTTCTTGGCAAAAGAGCAAAGAAACGAGGAAAAAACCTATATGGCTTCACTATAAGGCATATACAAGACAAGACACAGACCTTATTTGAAGACTGATGTGACCATGTGAGATGATAAACAATGAATTTCGACACTTATCTGAATAGTCTTGGATGATAATAATTTATGTCTACAGGACTTGTTAAAAACAAAAGTGAGTACAACTTGTGCGGCAAAAATACCTTAATGATATTCAAGATGTCTTCCTTAGGGTGAAAGTTTCGAGCGATGTCCAACATAAGACCTCTGTAAGGGAACCTTGGTGCATCAGTGATGATGCATTCTGGCACTCGGCCATTGCTATCCTAAAAATTTAGGAAAATCTCATCAGTCAAATTAGATATTATACTATCTGCAAATTTACACTCAAAACATATTGTATACCAATCTATGGCTAAAACGCACTGATTATAAAGTGTACTTCTAAAACACGTTTTATGAGTATGCTTTTGAAATACTTATTATAAATCAGCTTCTAAAGGCAGTCATTATCAGTGCACATCTCAAGGACACTAATTATGGGTACACTTCTACGTCACACTTATTATTAGTGTACATCTCAAAAACACTAATTATAAGTACAATTCAACATCACACTAATTATCAGTGTACATCTCAAACACATTAATTATAAGTACAATTCAACATCACACTAATTATCAGCGTACATCTCAAACACATTAATTATAAGTACAATTCAACATCACACTAATTATCAGCGTACATCTCAAACACATTAATTATAAGTACAATTCAACATCACACTAATTATCAGCGTACATCTCAAACACATTAATTATAAGTACAATTCAACATCACACTAATTATCAGCGTACATCTCAAACACACTAATTATAAGTACAATTCAACATCACACTAATTATCAGTGTACATCTCAAACACATTAATTATCAGTGTATATCCTAAACACACTAATTATAAGTACACTTCTAAATCTCATTAATTATCAGTGTACATCTCAAACACATTAATTATCAGTGTATATCCTAAACACACTAATTATGAGTACACTTCTAAATCTCATTAATTATCAGTGTACATCTCAAACACACTAATGATAGGTACACTTCTAAATCACACTAACTATCAGTGTACATCTCAAACACACTAAATATGGGTACACTTCTAAATCACACTAATTATCAGTGTACATTTCAAACACTCTAATTATCGGTACACTAATTAGGGTACAGATAAACTGTATTGGCTGAAGTGTTACAACTAAAATAAACATAGTGCAAAATGAAAGAACACTGATTAGAGTGCATATATATTACAATTACATAAATTACAACTACAAAGATTACCATGACATAGCTACACTCCATAGATTGCAATCATATAACTACACTCCACAAATTGCAATCATCTAGTTAAGCTCCACAAATTGTAATCATCTAGCTACACTCCACAAATTGCAATCATATAGACACACTCCATAGATTACAATCATCTAGCTACACTCCACAGATTGCAATCATTTAGCTATACTACACAGAGTGCCATCATCTAGCTACACTCCACAGATTGCAATCATCTACCAACACTCCATAGATTGCAATCATCTAGCTACACTCCACAGATTGTAATCATTTAGCTAAACTCCACAGATTGCAATAATCTAGCTACACTCCACAGATTGCCATTATTTAGCTACACTCCACAGATTGCAATCATATAGCTACACTCCACAGATTGCATTCATTTAACTACACTCCACAGATTGCAATCATATAGCTACACTCCACAGATTGCCATTATTTAGCTACACTCCACAGATTGCAATCATATAGCTACACTCCACAGATTGCCATTATTTAGCTACACTCCACAGATTGCAATCATATAGCTACACTCCACAGATAGCATTCATTAAACTACACTCCACAGATTGCAATCATATAGCTACACTCCACAGATTGCAATCATCTAGCTACACTCCACAGATTGCAATCATTTAGCTACACTCCACAGAGTGCAATCATTTAGCTACACTCCACAGATTGCAGTCATATAGCTACACTTCACAGATTGCAATCATATAGCTACATTAAATAGATTACAGTTACGTAAATTACCCTCACACAAATTACATAGATTACAATTACATAGATAACCCCCACAATTACACTACACTGAAACCATCACAAAGCTGTCGGCATCTGTGGCTTAGACATTGCAAACACGCTTTGTAATGCCGGCGTGCCGGGTTCGATCTCAGCTGCAAGTCTTGCGTATTGCATTGATTTTGATGGTGCTATCAAGAAGCCACCCGTAAAGAAAGCAATGGCAAATTTACTGGACATAAAAATGCTGGGGTTGGTTCTGCAATGTCCTGTAAAGGATACACAAACTAACTAACCAACTAACTAACTAACTAATTAACTAAAAGAGCTATACCACACTGAAATCTAGACACAACATAAATTACCATTACATGACTGCATCAAAATGTCATCATATAGATATACTATATTGATACTGATCACATGGCTACATTAGATAGATCGCCACCACATAGCTACAAGCTTTTAATCATTCTGATAACATATAATTACCAGCAAACTGAGAAGCGTGACCACTCCATAGAAAACACCAGAAGCTGCTTGTCCCACCACTTCAATCCTGTGGCTTGTTGCATTGACACTCAGCGAGTAAGCATCTTGGCTGTTATTGAAGGTCACATTGGCTGCTGTGGCATTCACTTCACCCAGGCTCAAATCAATGATATTGCTGGTGGAAGTTGAACTAGGCGCTGAAGGTATGCCAAGTTTGTCTAGGGAAAATATATGTTTAAAGCAATGTTCACAATTGAAAATTATAATACAGGTGACAAAGAATAGAATGTACAATTTGTTGCCTGGCATATTTTTCAGTTGTAAAGGATTAATTTATTTGCTTCATAGTATTCAACTGTTACTGTAGTATAAAATAGGTAAAGTTGGCAGATGTGAGCCAGCGTCATGGCACACGGTTATAAACCATAATTGCTCTGCCACCAGTACAGACAGTTGATAAGAAACTGTCCGCCTGTGTCACTGTCCGCATAAAACTGCGTAGCTACAGCGACGCTCCTCCATTTTCCCCAGTGTGTCAACTCTGGGACCCATTACCTAGATCTGGGTAAACCCTCGGAACCACCTGGCTGGATTTGAAAGCGAGCCTCCTATTGACTGCGCTAACAATGCCCCCGTTACTGTAGGTTACTGTAGTATGCACCAGACAAGATGCTGCTAAAAATGTAAGACAGTAATTTTGCAATCTCTTGTTTGTGTTCTTTGATCAATACATTTTTGTTAACTCCTCATGCATGGATATCAGATGATAGATATAACTAAACGTGTCTTCACCTAAAAATATACCAAAAGAGCAGGACACCAAAAGAGCCCAAGGTAGACCTAAAAACAAGATGGAAAGACAATATCAGAGAAACTCTGTAGTGGCATGATATACCTATCATCGAGGCAGCCAGAAAAGAAAATTAAAAGAACAGTGTATCTCTCTCAACACATAAAGCAGTAAAAGGTGGAGTAAAGAAGAAGAAGAAGAAGAAGAAGAAGAAGAAGAAGAAGAAGAAGAAGAAAGAGAAGAAGAGAAAAAGAAGAAGATGAAGAAGAAGAAGAAGAAGAAGAAGAAGAGAAGAAGAAGAAGAAGAAGAAAGAAGAAGAAGAAGAAGAAGAAAAAGAAAAAGAAGAAAAAGAAGAAGAAGAAGAAGAAGAAGAAGAGGAGAAGAAGAAGAAGAAGAAGAAGAAGAAAAGAAGAGAAGAAAGAAGAAGAAGAAGAAGAAGACGGAAAGAAGAAGAAGAAGAAGAAGAAGAGAAAGAAGAAGAAGAAGAAGAAGAAGAAGAAGAAGAAGAAGAAGAAGAAGAAGAAGAAGAAGAAGAAGAAGAAGAAGAAGAAGAAGAAGAAGAAGAAGTCTTTACCAGCCTAGGATAGGAGGATACAATTAAGCTGTACCTGTGTAGCTGTGAGGCTGCTCTAACATAACTACCTGAGAAGGCTGAATGGAGCATCTGGGATTTTGCCCATTGGAATGTCACCTTTCAGAGGTCTACAGATGGACAACACATCAACCATTGCCGGTCTACAGATAGACACATTTCACTTTAGTGGTCTACACACAGACACATTACATATTGCTGGTCTACAGATAGACACATCACACTTTGGGAGTTACAGATAGATACATCACATTTTGATGGTCTGTAAACAGACACATCATACTTTGGTGATCTACAGGTACACACATCACACTTTGATGGTTATAGATAGACACATCACACTTTGGTGATCTACAGACTGACATATCACACTTTGATGGTTACAGATAAACCCATCACACTTTGATAGTCTACAGTCACATCACACTTTGGTGATCTACAGATAGACACATTACACATTGCTGGTCTACAGATGAACACATCACAATTTGGGGGGTTACAGATAGATACATCACATTTTGATGGTCTGTAAATAGACATGTCACACTTTGGTGATCTATAGATAGACACATCATACTTTGGTTTTATACAGATAGACAGATCACACTTTGGAGGTCTACAGATAGACAGATCACACTTTGGAGGTCTACAGTTATAGAGGTCACATTTTGGTAGTCTACAGATAAACAAAATCATATTATGGGGGTCTACAAACAAACCGATCACACTCTAGTTGTCTACAGATAGAAACAAAATAGTTTGATGCTCCAATGATCTCCTTTTTCAAAATGTTGACCCCTGAGTAAACTTAGCTGGAGAGCCTTGAGATAAACAATGCATCATTATCCATGGGGAGTGTCACCTGTGAAAAGACATCCTTTATTCAGGTCCCCACTAACATCACATATTCTTACTTTTCAGATATGTGGCTTCATTGATAAGTTCTGCACTGGAAATGACAGTCCAAGAGCTGTCAATGACAACTTTTGCAACATCATCAGGATTAGTAATTAGGACACTGAGTGGTTTGGGAATGATACGATTCTCAGAACTGTATGTTGAGTCAGCCACGTAATTCCTCTCATAACGCTCCTGACCATAAAAGAGAAAAACAAACAGTAAATTGAACAAATGGTATAGCCATTATCACTAACTGTGACTACATGAGTCTTATTACTGTGTAATCTGTAGTGAGTCCAAATCTGATTCAAATCAAAAATAAGCAAATCGCTCCACTCGATGTATTACATTGGACATCATAGTGAAACCTCATGATACAAAGTTTAGTCCATACCATGACCGATCCTGTATGCCAAATAACTCGTAAACCAAAACTATCTTTCCTATTAAAGATAATCATCAAGTGCCTTGTTGACTTGCTTAAGACCTCTTTCAGCTACGTTAATGTGACCTAATTCTTTTTGAAGTTATCAAGATGCTGTCAGGTAATGCTAAGAGATCTCACCTCTTCCAGCTTACATCCTGTATTCTGCCTCGTATGTTAGGGCACACACACAAACACACACACAAACACACAACTTTGATGAGCTTGAATTACTATCCTGAAAACTCATATCTTGGTACATCGGTATTCTGAGGTTCCACTGAGCTATGAAATAACCAGTTGTAAATGTGAGGGGGTACAGCGAACAGATTACTAAATTACTTACTTTCCCTTAGTCTTTTAACTCTCTAGCCTGTGCTATCTGAAGGTCTAATCATCCAAAGATGAGAAAATTGCAAGCTGAATGGTAAGTCAACAGCATAAATGCTGTTACAACCTCCCCCCACACACACAAAAGTATATTAATTAAGGACACCCGAAATAGCCACTCCCAGCCCAGTCCAACCTGTAGTCTTGCACAAGTAAGGATATTAAATATGTTTCAATTACCTGCCTTGCAGTGGTGGTGCTATTTATTCCCTTCCAGTATTTCTGTTCATATGACCAACACCACAAGGATGAGAGTCAAACAGAAGCAAATCCCAGAAACCCAGTTCAACCGTAAAACAGTTATATTAGGGCACTACGACTATGAAGTAACCTACAGCCCAATGTCCTGGTGGGAAGTTTGGTCAGTGATGTAAATATTCCCTACTTGCAAGGCTTTCTGGCTGTACATAATGGTACCCAGTACTGGAACCCATTTTTGGCGGCATTTTTGTCAACGCTAATGTAATAAACGATAAAAACAGAAGTGACAGCAGTCAAGCTAGTATCAAGAAATAATCCACTGCACTGTGACTAAGTAGCTTAACCAAGGGTAAAAGTGGACAATTATGTTTTTTCCCCCTTTCCACCTTTGTTAAACTTCTTAGTCACATTTCAGTGGATTTAACAGACACTGTTCGGCGATTACGGGCATCTTTTCATAGGGAAAAACACTGCCTACTTGTACTCACTTCTGTACTGTGTAGTTTGTCCCCTCAGGTCTTCAGACTGTATGATTAACTAAATACTCAAGGATAAGAATCAAACATGTATAAGTCATAGAAACCCCCTTCAATGATATAACAAAGTTAAACTGGAGCACCCCGGACAGTTAGGAAGTTACTTGCAGTCCAGTGTTGGACAGTTTTGTTAACTTTAATGTAATTATTACTCACCTGAACAGTCCATGGATTGTAGTCATCTGAGCCAAAACGCTTCCACTGTTGAACTGTTGTTCTAGCAGTCACAAAATCCAGCAGGTTTCCCTTCGTGTTGGCTAGCACCTCCGGCTTTAGGTTTGGCAAAGTTATATACCAGTTGGGCATTGTATCTGTTCTCGCGACTGAGACATAGCCAATCTGTGAGTGGATATCACAAGTTTTTGGACATTCATAAAAATATATAGTTGCTATGAATTCTGGTGAAGCTATGAATTCTGGTGAACTCTTCTTTTAACAGCTACTAGTTATGTCAAAAGCCAGTATTTGTTTCAGTGTATGTTTGTGTCAGGAAGCCAGTGTTTGTGTCAGTTTATTTATGGGCCAGAAAGCCAGTATTTGGGCCAGACAGTTCATTTTTATGCCAGAAGCCAGTATGTTGTCAGTCTATGTTTATGCCAGAAGCCAGTTTTTGTGTCAGACAGTCGATTTCTAGGCCAGGAAGCCAGTATTTGTATCAGACAGTCTATGTTTATGCCAGAAGCCAGTTTTTGTGTCAGACAGTCCATGTTTATGCCAGAAGACAATATTTGCGTCAGTCTATGTTTATGCTAGAAGCCAGTATTTGTGTCAGACAGTCTATGTTTTTGCCAGAAGACAATATTTGTGTCAGACAGTCTATGTTTTTGCCAGAAGACAATATTTGTGTCAGACAGTTTATTTTTATGCCAGAAGCCAGTATGTTGTCAGTCTATATTTATGCCAGAAGCCAGTATTTGTGTCAGACAGTCGATTTCTAGACCAGGAAGCAAGAATTTGTATCAGACAGTCCATGTTTTCCCCAGAAGCCAGTTTTTGTGTCAGTAAATGTTTATTCCAGAAGCCAGTATTTGTGTCAGACACTCCATGTTTATGCCAGAAGGAAATATTTGTGTCAGTCTGTGTTTATGCCAGGAAGCCAGTATTTGTGTCAGACAGTCTATGTTTATCCCAGAAGCCAGTTTTTATGTCAATCTATGATTACGTCAGAAGCCAGTATTTGTGTCAGACAGTCTGTGTTTATGCTAGAAGCCAGTATTTGTGTCAGACAGTCTGTGTTTATGCCAGGAAGCCAGTATTTGTGTCAGACAGTCTATGTTTATCCCAGAAGCCAGTTTTTATGTCAATCTATGATTACGTCAGAAGCCAGTATTTGTGTCAGACAGTCTGTGTTTATGCTAGAAGCCAGTATTTGTGTCAGACAGTCGATTTCTAGGCCAGAAAGCCAGTATTTTTGTCAGACAGTCCATGTTTAAGCCAGTATTTGTGTCAGTCTATGTTTAAGCTAGGAAGCCAGTATTTGTGTCAGAATGTCTATGTTTATGTCAACATTTTGTCAGACAGTTTATGTCAGGAAGCCAGTATTTGTGTCAGACAGTCGATTTCTAGGCCAGAAAGCCAGTATTTTTGTCAGAGAGTCCATGTTTAAGCCAGTATTTGTGTCAGTCTATGTTTAAGCTAGGAAGCCAGTATTTGCGTCAGAATGTCTATGTTTATGTCAACATTTTGTCAGACAGTTTATGTCAGGAAGCCAGTATTTGTGTAACAGTGTAAGAAATATGTGCCAAGAAAATAGTACAAGGGAACGTCGATTCTCGAATTAATTAGCTTTTAAAAGTTGTTTAGAAAGAGAGACGTTCGAAAATTGAAAACATGTTACCCCTTTAGGAATTCGTGTAAAATAGATTTATTGGTTTCTAAACTCCAGACGTTTGCTTAAAACTATATGAACCTTTAAAGTAATATTTCATAGATAAAGATGTAAAGAACAAAGGATTTGGCTAATCTCATCAAAAAACAGAAACTATAAAATAAGATATCTCGAAACATTTAATAGCTAATAAACTGAACGAGGAGGATAAAGGCGGGAGATCTTATTGATTGTAAATGGAACCATGCGAGAACTGCCGAGAACAAACAATTTATAGATTCCGAATCTCCAGTGACGATAGCTGGAAATCTCCGTTGAAAAAAAACAACAACCTATATTCGTTTAACTTACCACACGTCTGTGAAACGAACCCAGGACCTTCAGAGCTTTGCCACTTCTCTATAGTAACCCTTATCCACGACTTCAGGCATGTTGGGCACACACATAAACCTATATTTTATAGATCAGTCGGCACTGGGTAGATAATGGGGTCAACATCATGCTGGTCGCCTTTACTTCATCAGACTTTACCAGGTATCCCTTTAAGGCTGGGTCGACCTGGGGGCCAAGGTTCTTTTTTTTTTTTTAAAGTTTCCCCCCCTCCCCCCCTCCCCCCTCCCCCCCAAAAAAATACGGTATTTGTATCTGATAGCACCTGGCAACTATTATACGGCCACTTCTACTTCGTTTTGAGACTTGAACAAAAATATGAAATCTTCGAAGGGCATATCGAAAGTTAGTTGAGGGTCTATGCTCCATTTGAGGATTCAAGACAGATAAAGATGACGGCGACACACATTACAACGATAAGAGGCAGAAACCAGGTAGCTGCTTGAACAAAATTTGAACTGTGAATTACACAGTATCGATACATGGTATGCCAGGAATAGCGATTGGTAGGCATATTGTTAACAACCTGCGATACGCCAACGATAAAGTGTTGATCGCTGAAAATGAAACACGGCTGCAAGAAGTGATGAGTATAACTGTAACGGAAAGTGAATACAAAGGTCTTAGTTTCAGCAGCAGAAAAATAGAAGTAATGGTAATTACAAAGAGAACTGACCCTCTAAAATACAACATCCAAGTAAATGGGACAAACCTCAAGCAAGTTGATGTGTTTAAATATGTGGGTACCCTGAAAACGTCACATGGAAGATGTATTAAGGAAGTTAAATGTCGAATAGCTTAAGCAAAGGCAGTATTTTACAGAATGAAGAATATTTTATGCAATCTTTCTTTGTCAATTAAGACGATAAAAAGACTTCTTAAAAGTTATACAAATCCTACATTAATATACAGATGCGAATCATAGACAGTTAGTAAATTAGTGAAAACCTATTTGGAAGCTGCGATGATGTGGTTTTATAGACGGTTAATGAGAATACCCTGGACAGATAAAAAGAGTAATGAAGATGTCTTGAAAGAAACTGACTCAGGAAGAGAACTGATTGCCCTCGTCAGAAAGAGACAATCTACATTCTTTGGTTATGTGATGAGAAAAGGAAAATGGAGTATATTGTGACGGTAGGAAAGTTGGAGGGGAGGAGATGCAGAGGGAGACCGAGAGAACAGATGCTGGGCAGTTTAACATCATGGCATTGAGGATCATCGGTGTCAGAGTTGACTGAAAGTACACACGACAGAAAGTTGTGGATAGACATAACTACCAACGCCACACGGCATGGACTTTAAGAAGAAAAATTATACAGTTTTAGAACCAAGTTATATATTTTCAGTTCTTATGTTATTTCACATTTAACATATGCCATTGATATTTGGAGAACTAACAGAGGTTCTAAACGAAAGGTAATTGTATTTGACAGTAAATGGCTGAGGAAAATTATGAAAAAAAAAATTGAGAGGAATCCAGTGTAGTGAAACAAAAATTGGAGAAATGTCTCGGTAACCACCAGTATCAACAGCTATAAGACAGAGAAGATGTCGATATAATGAACAAATTCTCAGAAGAGACAACCACCAGTATCAACAGCTATAAGACAGAGAAGATGTCGATATAATGAACAAATTCTCAGAAGAGACAACCACCAGTATCAACAGCTATAAGACAGAGAAGATAGCGATATAATGAACAAATTCTCAGAAGAGACAACCACCAGTATCAACAGCTATAAGACAGAGAAGATGGCGATATAATGAACAAATTCTCAGAAGAGACAACCACCAGTATCAACAGCTATAAGACAGAGAAGATAGCGATATAATGAACAAATTTTCAGAAGAGACAACCACCAGTATCAACAGCTATAAGACAGAGAAGATGGCGCTATAACAAACAAATTCTCAGAAGAGACAACCACCAGTATCAACAGCTATAAGACAGAGAAGATGTCGATATAATGAACAAATTCTCAGAAGAGACAACCACCAGTATCAACAGCTATAAGACAGAGAAGATGGCGCTATAATAAACAAATTCTCAGAAGAGACAACCACCAGTATCAACAGCTATAAGACAGAGAAGATGGCGATATAATAAACAAATTCTCAGAAGAGACAACCACCAGTATCAACAGCTATAAGACAGAGAAGATGGCGATATAATAAACAAATTCTCAGAAGAGACAACCACCAGTATCAACAGCTATAAGACAGAGAAGATGGCGATATAATAAACAAATTCTCAGAAGAGACAACCACCAGTATCAACAGCTATAAGAGAGAGAAGATAGCGATATAATGAACAAATTCTCAGAAGAGACAACCACCAGTATCAACAGCTATAAGACAGAGAAGATAGCGATATAATGAACAAATTCTCAGAAAGAGTACAACCACAGAGTATCAACAGCTATCTCAGAAGAGACAACCACCAGTATCAAGAGAGAGAGATAGCGATATAATGAACAAATTCTCAGAAGAGACAACCACCAGTATCAACAGCTATAAGACAGAGAAGATAGCGATATAATGAACAAATTTTCAGAAGAGACAACCACCAGTATCAACAGCTATAAGACAGAGAAGATGGCGCTATAACAAACAACCACCATATCTCAAAAGAGACAACCACCAGTATCAACAGCTCAACAGCTATAAGACAGAGAAGATGTCGATATAATGAACAAATTCTCAGAAGAGACAACCACCAGTATCAACAGCTATAAGACAGAGAAGATGGCGCTATAATAAACAAATTCTCAGAAGAGACAACCACCAGTATCAACAGCTATAAGACAGAGAAGATGTCGATATAATGAACAAATTCTCAGAAGAGACAACCACCAGTATCAACAGCTATAAGACAGAGAAGATAGCGATATAATGAACAAATTCTCAGAAGAGACAACCACCAGTATCAACAGTTATAAGAGAGAAGATGTCGATATAATGAACAAATTCTCAGAAGAGACAACCACCAGTATCAACAGCTATAAGACAGAGAAGATGGCGATATAATGAACAAATTCTCAGAAGAGACAACCACCAGTATCAACAGCTATAAGACAGAGAAGATGGCGCTATAATAAACAAATTCTCAGAAGAGACAACCACCAGTATCAACAGCTATACGACAGAGAAGATGGCGATATAATAAACAAATTCTCAGAAGAGATATAACCAAATTCCAGTATCAACAGCTATAAGACTGAGAAGATAGCGATATAATAAACAAATTCTCAGAAGAGACAACCACCAGTATCAACAGCTATAAGACAGAGAAGATGGCGCTATAATAAACAAATTCTCAGAAGAGACAACCACCAGTATCAACAGCTATAAGACAGAGAAGATGTCGATATAATGAACAAATTCTCAGAAGAGACAACCACCAGTATCAACAGCTATAAGACAGAGAAGATAGCGATATAATAAACAAATTCTCAGAAGAGACAACCACCAGTATCAACAGCTATAAAACAGAGAAGATGTCGATATAATGAACAAATTCTCAGAAGAGACAACCACCAGTATCAACAGCTATACGACAGAGAAGATGGCGATATAATAAACAAATTCTCAGAAGAGACAACCACCAGTATCAACAGCTATAAGACAGAGAAGATAGCGATATAATAAACAAATTCTCAGAAGAGACAACCACCAGTATCAACAGCTATAAGACAGAGAAGATGGCGCTATAATAAACAAATTCTCAGAAGAGACAACCACCAGTATCAACAGCTATAAGACAGAGAAGATAGCGATATAATGAACAAATTCTCAGAAGAGACAACCACCAGTATCAACAGCTATAAGAGAGAAGATGGCGATATAATAAACAAATTCTCAGAAGAGACAACCACCAGTATCAACAGCTATAAGACAGAGAAGATGGCGATATAATAAACAAATTCTCAGAAGAGACAACCACCAGTATCAACAGCTATACGACAGAGAAGATGGCGATATAATAAACAAATTCTCAGAAGAGACAACCACCAGTATCAACAGCTATAAGAGAGAAGATAGCGATATAATGAACAAATTCTCAGAAGAGACAACCACCAGTATCAACAGCTATAAGAGAGAAGATAGCGATATAATGAACAAATTCTCAGAAGAGACAACCACCAGTATCAACAGCTATAAGACAGAGAAGATAGCGATATAATGAACAAATTCTCAGAAGAGACAACCACCAGTATCAACAGCTATAAGACAGAGAAGATAGCGATATAATGAACAAATTCTCAGAAGAGACAACCACCAGTATCAACAGCTATAAGACAGAGAAGATGTCGATATAATGAACAAATTCTCAGAAGAGACAACCACCAGTATCAACAGCTATAAGACAGAGAAGATAGCGATATAATGAACAAATTCTCAGAAGAGACAACCACCAGTATCAACAGCTATAAGACAGAGAAGATGGCGATATACTGTACAAATTTTCAGAAGAGACTAATAGAGAAACAACAGACAGGCACTGAAATGGGTAAAAGAAGGACTGGGGATACTGAAACCTTGAAGAGAAACTTTAGCCCCAGTGTTGACCAAAGAAGCCAGAGTTGCTGAAGTGGATTCCATCCCCGATATCGAAGCGATTGCACAGTTTCAAACGGAATAGAGAAACAGACTGTGAGCATTGTGCGACACATAAAGCACAACAGGACAATAAATTAATGAATCGATCAACAATGAATGAATTAATTAATTAATTGATTAATTAATTAATAAATGAATGAATGAAAACACGTCTATTACAGCTCACCTTGAGTTTAATTTTCCTCCTGCCTCCAGGTGTTAGAGAAATAAAACTCTGCGTTGGCTTCAGATAGTACTGGTCACCTTGCAGCTGGCTGACCGTCACACCTTGACCAGGCAATTCTACCTCCTTGTTTCCCAGAGTCCCCATCAAATCCGGCTCTATTTTGTAGACGCAGCTAAAGTGGATTTGCCAAGGCCCGTAAGTCAGGTTCAAATCTTTAGCTGTATTTTCTAGAGTTATTTCTGCTTGATGCCTATAGTCTTCCCTTGTGTTTGTGACTACGGTCCACGTGACTTTTAATCCATTTGCGAGATTGCTCAGGTAAGCTTGATCTTGTCCTTTGCCCAAGGTGAAGACTGTTAGAAAGACAAATCAAGTTAATATCTGTACCTTCATATAAATTGCGGTACAGCTGTGACAATACAAAATACAGTTAAAACAAAACAAGACAGCTGCTGTTGTGTAGCCGCTAGACGTTAGCCTGCGGAAGATTGGAAGATCGTGAGTTTGGGGTCTGCCGGGGACATACTTTTTCCAAAATGACCTTGGCTATTTGGTCGAAACCTTGAGTGGGTATCAGGTAAAGTCCTGGGTAGTAAAGGCGTCTGGCTTTATACTGACCACACCACACACTGCGTGCCGATTGCTCTATACAATATAGGCCTAGCCCTATACGCCCAAAATATCTAAAGAAAAACAGGGAGCCGCTGTGGCGCAGTAGCTAAATGCTTGCCAGTCGACCTGTAAGTCTTTGATCGCGTGAGCAACTTTTAATACTGTTTCCGTCAAAAGTGAACTGCATTTCTAATGTTGGACTGTTTGTGTTAGCACTTCTTATGCCTTATTTGTTTTAGTGCGTGTGGTGATGCTGAGACCGCAGTTCATGTCAGTTTTTCAACAGTAGACAGTGATGGACATTCTGTGTGTGTGTGTGTGTGTGTGTGTGTGTGTGTGTGTGTGTGTGTTTTATAATTTTGCATCTGTTTTACAGGATCTGACTCATTTATGTTTCGGACAATTCAATTTTGAAAACCTGGTTTCAGATTTTCTTTAGTCTTGGAGATTACAGGTTACTGCTCTTCTAACTAATCAGCCAGCTACATATGATTCACATCCGTTAATCAGGAAAGGACTTTTTGTTTTGGCTCCAGATAATTCTTGTTCTTCTGTAGGTGACAACATTACGTGTGTCATATTTGGGAGGTAACATTGTCCAGTAAAAAACCACGCAAGAAATAATAAATACTGAGTTAGTCTGAATTGATCAATAAACCGAACACTCTATTAAAGCCTCGTAGATGTGGTTGTACAGAGGAATCCTTAGAATTCCTGGACAGCTAATATGAGCATCCCAGAGGTTTCGAAAGAGGCGAGTGCTCGAAGACAACTTATCAAACATCAGAAGGAAACAGCCATTTTTTGGTCATGTTATGAGAAGAGGGAAACTGGAAGATGGAAAGATTCGAGGAAAGAGAGGCAGGGGAAGACAGCGTGAGAAGATTCTTAAAAGTCTTTTGTCATGGCATGGAGGGGTGTAACCGCACGAACTGATACACGCAGTTGCAGATCGCAGATTGTGGAGAGGCACGATCGCCCTCGCCAGTCGGCAAGGCACTTGATGAGGATGATAAGTTGGTCTGCGCAGTCCTGAAAAGAACATGCATTCACTAGATACCTCATACCATTATAGTGTAAAGACATAGAAAAAGAGCAGAATTGTGTGCGCACATGTGTTTTGGTTATTTATTCGACACACAAAGTCCAGACTGGAACTTGTGAAGTTTGACAACCACAAACAGTCTCGAGTTGACCTTTCCCACAGATTGAAGACCTCATTAGGGAAGATTGTCAGCCGTGACCCAGTGTGACATTCTTTGATTTAAACATTTAGGGCAAACATGTTTGGAAGTTTCTAACAGTGAATCCTCGTTAGTGACTGCTGTTGGCCGGCCCTCTAGCGTAGTTGGTTAAACCTGACTTTCGCGGTAGCCGGGTGAAGAACTCCTTGTGGTCCGGGGTTCACTCCCCGGGGGTAGGCGGCAAAGCCACATTTCTGCCAGATTTACGGTACCTATAATGGAATCAAGTCCCAAGGGTTGCGATATCCATAGTACCGAGCCAAAGGGTTTACAACTCATGGTTTCTGGATACTTTTGTGTGTCAGGGGCTCAGGAATATGGAGAGCTTAAGTACAATGAGCCCTCCCCCAAGCTCCCTTTTTGTAACCTTCCAACTGCCATTATTTAAAAAGTAAAGAAGTAAAGATCCCTTTTCACGCCTTTCGGCGCATCGGGCTTATGGGCAGAGCGTCCCATATCTTTACAGACCATCAGCACTCTGTGGGTAATGTGGTCAGCATTACGCCAGCTTTATTTACTTTACCAGGACAGCCCATCCTGGTACCCATTTTAGGCTGGGTCGACCTGCGACGTCCCATACCACGACAAAAATCCACTCAGCCTGCAGTGGGTTTCGATCGCGGTATGCTGGCTCACGAGTCGGACTCGCAACAACTGCCATTATTGCCTTTTACTTAATCACTTCTGCGGTGTAGATGGAGGGAAACCAACAGGGGGTGGGGTGTCTTTGAGTCTGAGGATTTAGGGTCACATGGTTAGCGCTATCGGACTGTGCAGACTAGGATTATATTTATACCTCCAATATTTTTTTTTTTCTAATTCCGAACCTTACCGAGGGTTCGAACACTTGTCTTCCGCATGAGATCCTTGCGTTTTTAACTATTTGGACAGCAGCTCCACATTCACCTACCATGATAAATGTATGTGTGGGAAAGATAGGGGGGGGGGGGGGTGTAAGGTTTGCGATGAAACTGAAACCTCGACTGATACCCTACTATTTATTAAGTTAGTTGCGTCCCTTTACAGGGTGTTGCATAACCAACCCCAGCATTTTTGGGCAGTTGCGGTTTTTTCAGGCAAATTACGCTCCAGTAGTTTGCCAGTGCTCTCCGAGTCGAAACCAACGCAAGACAAACCGTCCGAAGCTGGGATGAAGCCCAGCACCCCGGAATTACGAAGCGCGTTCGCAAAGCCTAAGCCATAGACACCGACCTACTGTTTATTACTATTTTTTATTATAAGGGTCGTCGTGGTATAATAGTCATGTAAAAGTGCTGGGAGGTAAAGGCAACCGGCGTTGTGCTGACCACATCACCTATCGAGGGCCGGTTGGTCTATGAAAATAGAGGTCAAGCCCTATGTGCCCAATATCTCTAAAGGCTTGACAAAGGGTCATTTACTTTATTGTAGCTGTAGATATTGAGGTGGTCTAGTAAAAAGTAAAGTAAAGATCCCTTTTCACGCCTTTCGGCGCATCGGGCATATGGGCAGAGCGTCCCATATTTTTACAGACCATCAGCACTCTGTGGGTAATGTGGTCAGCATTACGCCGGCTGTCTTTACTTTCCCAGGACAGCCCATCCTGGTACCCATTTTAGGCTGGGTCGACCTGCGACGTCCCATACCACGACAAAATCCACGCAGCCTACAGTGGGTTTCGATCGCGGTATGCTGGCTCACGAGTCGGACTCGCAACGCCTTAGCCACGGACGCCGCATTGAGGTGGTCTCGTGGGAACAAAATGCAGCGGAACGTGTTTTGTGGAGGGTTACATCAGGAAGGAAACAAGAATGATGGAAGAAACAACGGCAGAAAGAATGACTGCTGGGTGTCTGAGAAGAAACAATCACAAATGTTGACAATGAAAGTGAATATCATCACACTCTATTTGCGGAAGACATGTCTTAAGGCGGTGGGTTTTGCTAGTCGCACTCGCCATCGCAATGGGCTGTGGGTCCCATGCCTCCTCATAGATGTTTTGGATGGTTTAGACGACGGATCATCCATCATGGCACAATAGGTGACCCATAAGTAATCCGTTTTACTTCTGACTCAAGCTCAAGTCCGAGAATCTCAGCGCAGTGCACCAACTGCTGTAGCACTGGCGATGATTCTGAAATACTTTGGATAGATTTTTTTACTACAAATGTTATCAGGGCAGTGCCGTTAGGATACTCATTTCGATTTCCAACTGCCACGGGATTTTTTACGTGAACAACAATACACACGGGCGTCCGATCTTACTACCCAGAGACCATGGGAAATTACTAGAAGTCCACGTGAAAAAAATCGCAGCCTTCCTCGGGACCTAAACCCGGGACCTCCAGCACTCGAGGCGGACGCTATGCCTTAAGATCACGCAGCCTCCTCGTAGCGCAGTATAACACTCATCAATCAATCAACAAGTCCTTTACAGAAAGTCGCTCTCTTCACGGCCTGAAAGTATCCCATTCCCTAGCCAGCTCTCAGGCCTCCGGTGCTTTCAGTGACAATGCATCTTCAATGTCCTGTGTCCATCTGTGCGGTGGTCGACCCCTGCCTCGCTTTTCATAACCGCACCCTCCATCACCGTCTTTTCCAAGCCACCATGACACTTGATGTGGCCAAAATACTTCAACTTTCGGAACAGGATGCTGTTTATGAGCCAGTTCTCCCTGATATTCAACTCGATTAGAATATTTTTCCTTTCGTTTTGAAAGACGGAAAGGTGCCAATCAAGAACATTATTATTATTATTATTATTATTATTATTATTATTATTATTATTAGGCACGAGAACTTACTGCCCCCCTCCCCCTTTTCCACCCTTCTCGTTTTCCTGTGTTGTCTTTCTGTCAGCGACCCTGGTGTAGGTTAACCTGTGCGCTGATGTTTTAAAACTGTCAGTGTTGTGTAGTTGAGTTCTCTTTCTTTGTTCGGTGGCCATGGTTCAGAATACGCACCGAAGCGGATTGTTTTTTCAGTAGGACTGTTTCTTCTCGTGTGGGTTCCGGGACCCCATTTGGGGGGGGGGGGATAAGAATAGACCCACTGCCTCCCCAAAAAGTACGCAGTATGAGTCTTCTAATTAAGGGCTTTCTTCAAAGTCAAAGTGCATCTGCCTGAGAGGCAAGAAACCAACAATCTGCATACAATTAGGTCAGATCTGTTAAACGGACGTGCACGCAACACTCAGGTTCTGGAACAAGAATAAAGTCCAGAGGTGGACAAACAACCATAAAATTCCACCTGAGTTTATAGCCAGTGAAGGCGAAGAAGAAGTAATTGACTATGGCTCCCAGGTCGACTAGTATATGCCAGGATGGGTTACGTGGCTCCATTATGTTTGTTGTGTGGCAGCGGCTATATTTTGTCTCCCTCAAAATTGGACTACGACACTCATAGGGCGATGTTACGGGTTCGAATTCTGACTCCTTCTTTAGTTAGCGAGTACAGGTGTTTCTTAAGCCTTTGGAGGTAGGCCGCTGAAGCTCTGGAGATAGTGCTTGCAGGGATTTTTTGGGGACCGCAGGCAACGGTACGCATTACTGGCACATTGTTGGCATCATTTTTTCTTTCCAGCGCTAACAGAAAAATTTAAACGCATGAACAACAATTCCATGCACAGAATAGCAAATAACTTAACCAAAAACCGACTGAAAAGACGAAGCTTTCACCATCTATCAAAATTGTACTGCACAAAAAAAAAACAGTGACATCCTTTCTAAAGATCCTTCAACATGGGAAATGATCCAGGCATACAGCATAGACCCACAGCCTAAATATACAGTCACAACAACAATTCCAGGCATAGACAGAAAGGCTGAAGAGTGTGACCTAGTACTACGTGCAAAGACCCTTGAACATGTCTACAACTGTTATCCAAATCCCGAATGGACACACGTTTACACCGATGGATCATTGGAGCAGACAAAAATGGAGGAGCTGGATCAGTCATCATGCTGCAAGATGGAACCACAGTAGAAACGGCATGCGCCTCCGGAAGACTCTCAACAAACTTCAGAGCAGAGCAGCAAGCAATTATTGATTCAGCCAGAGTGCTCGAGGAAAGAAAAATTAAAAACAGCAAAATGGTTTTCTTTTGTGACTGCATGTCAGTCCTCCAAGCGACTCATAGGGATCCACGAGACAACATGGAAAAAAGAAATAACCCGTCAGCTAAACAGACTCACAGAAAACAATCAGATAGTTCTCCAGTGGATCCCGTCTCACTGCGGCATACAAGGAAATGAGTTAGCAGAGACTTGCAAAAAATGGAACAAAGGAGAAACAACATGCTCATTCATTGTCATAACCAGAAATCAGAACACTTATCAAAGGAAAATACAAGGGATTGTGGAGAGAACAAACTAACAGTAAACATCCACAAGACCCCATCAGCAGACTCAACAGAAAGCAACATACAACAAATTTTCCGTCTACGAACAGGACACTGCAGGCTCAACTACCACATGCATAAAATAAAGATTGTACAGTCCCCCCAGTGTGCCTGTCAAACAGGACCCCAAACACCTCAGCGCATTCTGCAGACCTGCCCACTCTACCTGCAACTTCTAAAAGACATCTGGCCTCAAGAGCAAAGTGTGCAGAGCAAGCTATGGGGAACCATGCAGGACCTGCAGCTGACATGCGAGTTCATAGAGGCAACCCACCTGATAGTCTGATCTGAGCATACGTAACCGAACGCAAAGAAGAAGAAGAAGAACCAAGGGTCTCTAGCACTCGAGGCAGACACCATGCCTCGAGACCACGCAGCCCCCTTACGCAGTTACCAAAAGACAGGAAACTACAACTAACTCCTCTCTGCGAAGCTCTACAACATAATAAGCAGGACAAAAACGAGAAGTATACTCTTCTAAGCTCTAAAATGGTGCAAGTAAGCAAATCCGGGTTTGATGTACCCTACTTGGCTTATCTCAACAGTACTCTTAGTATTATCAGTATTTTGAAGTCTGACCCTGGTCTTGAATGTGATTTATAGAACAGTAAATATAGCCTATGTATATCGTCTCTAACTACCGTTAGTATATGTAAAAGAGATTTCGGTGTCAACAAGGCAGGCAGAGAGTGCAATCTTCTTCTTTCGTTCGCTTGAAATAGATTATCTGAAATCTTCTTCTTCTTCTGCTTCTTATTATTTCGTTCGATTGAAAAAGATTATATCTCTGTCTGCAGTATTGTCTCTAGTATGAACTCCGCTGTCCGTTGTACGAGCGTATATCACATTCAGGCTACTACAACACTTAAAACCCACGCGGATTATGAACGTTCGTTTTAGATTTTTGATTGAACGACCTCGTCACCAGAATCTGTTTTTCCATTTCAGTGCCCATTTCTTTAAAAAAAATTGTTTAAGTAAGCAACAAAGTAGTGTGTATTTAGAAAGACGATGTCATGAGTAATCCTGATGTTAGTAAAGTAGTATGTATTTAGAAAGATGATGTCATGAGTAATCCTGATGTTGTAAAGTAGTATGTATTTAGAAAGATGATGTCATGAGTAATCCTGATGTTGTAAAGTAGTATGTATTAGAAAGATGATGTCATGGGTAATCCTGATGTTATAAGTTGTGAGTATTAAGAAAGACGATGTCATGAGTAATCCTGATTTTATAAAGTAGTATGTATTAGAAACGATGATGTCATGGGTAGTCCTGATTTTATAAAGTAATGTAAAGTCAGGACGAAGATTTCATAAGAAGTCCTGACATTATAAGGTAGTATGTAGTAAGAATGAAGATTGAATGGGCAATCCTGTTCTGATTTCATAAAGATGAAGATTTTATGAGTAGTCCTGATGTTTTGAAGTAGAGTATAGGAAGAAGCATGATTGTGTCAGTAGTTTGAATGTTTGTTCTGATGTTCAATATCTGCCATATTGCTAATGTGTGTGAACGTGCGATGCTGTGAGAAAAGAGCGAAATGAAAATAACTCAGTAATTTCGTGCCGAAGCAAGACCACGTAGAGTCATCGCCTATCAAGAATATCATTTTGTCTCCAGTTTTACCGAATTGTTTTAAGTTAGTACTCTTATAGTTGATGCCCATTAAGGGATTTTAATCTGTTTGAGGCCTATATAAAACTTATAAAAATTCACGGGGACAGTTATTTTTGCCCATTTTGATAATCGTCTTTTTGATTAACAATCTTGCAAGTGCCAGTTTTTTTTAATGCAAACTGCTGGTTCCTTGCCTCTCATGCAGATGCACTCCGACTTCAAAGGAAACTTCAAATTAAAAGGTTCTTACAAGTTTTTGGGTAGGCAGTGGGTCTATTCTTGTTTTCCCTATAAAAAAGCCCCGGAACCCACCCAGGGATGTGGGAAAGTGTTTCTCCTCTTCCTAATTGTTAATTACCAATCTTGTAGGTGTCGAAGTTTTGATTTCTTTGACTGGCAACGTGTAGTGTTATACAGAGGGATATAGTTGATGTCATTGTACAGGGCTTTCCGTAAGTTTTCATACACAGGAGAAAAAGTAAATGACACTTTTCCACGCCTATATGCGTATAGGGCATATAGGGCTAGATCTTTATTTTATAGACCAATTAGCACAAGATGGCTGATGTGGTCAGCATCCCACCGGCCACCTATACTTCCCGTGACTGCACCCGGTACCCACTCATGGCTGGCTCGACCTAGGAGGCAAGGTCTTTTTTTTTTTTTTAAAGTCCGGTTTTGCCAGGGAGCGAACCCACGACCTTCCGATCCGCAGCGAGCGTCTAGCCGCTACGCCACGGCGATTCCCAGCATTTGAGGAAACACATCAAAATGTGTTTTCAAAACTATGGTAGACACGTAGAGCATGTTAGATAAAGGTGTTTTATTTTCAGGGCGCTGAGCTGAGTGGTCTCGAGGTATGGTGTTCGCCTCGAGTGCTTTTCCCGGGTTCAAGCCCCGGTGAAGGCTTGGATTTTTTCACATGGACTTCAAGTAATTTCCTCTGGTCTCTGGGAATAAATATCGCACGCCCGTGTGTATTGTTGCGCACGTACAAAATCCCTTGGCAGTTGTAAATCTAAAAGAGTAACCTAACGGCGCTGCCCGGGCAAAATTTGGGGTTAAAAATCTACCCAAAGTATTTCAGGATCCTCGCCGGTGCTACAGAGCCTGTGCACTGTGACTGAGCTTCTTTGGACTCATGTTTGAGCCAGAAATAGAACGGAGCATTCATGGGTTACACCCGTGTACCGTGATGTTCACCCGTCGAATAAACATAAGCACACATAAACATAGAAGAAAGCAACAATTAATTTAACATTGCTTTTTGTTAATTATAACCAGGTTAAAACAGATACACAAAACAGCTTAGGACCATTTTTGCAGTGAGAAATTCTTTGTGCATAGGTAGCGATTTATAAAACAAGACAAGCTGGCAATTGTAAGTGGCTGCGTTCTTTTGACATGAAATGTTGGCTTGTCTGTACATACGTTCATTCTTTGTGTTGCTATCTACGCCTACAAACAATACCTGGTCCACGTCTTTTATATACGGTGACTTTGGCGATTTGGGTCATTGTTCGAAATGTGAAAGTTTCTGAAGTAGTAGATAAGACAATAAAGAAACGGAATTCATATATTGCTGACAATGGAGACAAAGATATCTTGTGGTAATGTCCTCGTGGTGTCATTTGTTGAAAGGAGTGGGTCGCAAGTGTATTTCAGTATATTGGCAACTATGAACAGTTTTAACTACAGCGAAAAGTCAAAAAATGCCAAGGTATAAACATGTAATAAGATCTAACGACCTCTCAAAAAAAAAAAAAAAAATATTGCAAGGCCCAGTAGAGGGAAAGAGGAGAAGACGCAGACCAAGAAAGACCTGGTTACAGAACCTGACTTCTTGGACAGGCATGCAGCCGTGAAGTCCATAGCAACTGACCGCCAAAGGTGGAGAGAGCTGATCAGACAGTCAGCAGAAACTGGTGACCTAAGGACATGCAAATTTTAGTACATTATCAGATGAAACAAGCAGAGACTATTGCTACTTAATAAGCATGGCGTAAAAGGCTTCTAATTAAATGAGATCATTGACTATAGTTTTGCCAAACATGGATTCTCATGTATTAAGTTTTAGCACATTTAAGTAATTAGTAAATTTGTCTTCAGTTTCAGTCATTATCCTATTATCATTTGTTTGTGTGTGTGTGTGTGTGTGTGTGTATGTGTGTGTGTGTGTGTGTGTGTGTGTGTGTGTGTGTGTGTGTGTGTGACATTTCGTATCAGTTAATTTCCCCATTTGGGTTTCAGAGCCCTGTTATAGGTAAAACAAGAAAAGACCCACTGCCTACCCACAATTATGTCGCAAGAGTCTACTAATTGGGAGCTTCCTTCAAAGTCGGAGTGCATCTGCCTGAGAGGCAAGGAACCAATAGTCTGCATACAAATTAATCAGTCTATCAAACGGATGCACATGCAACACAAAGGTTATGGAATATGACTAGTGTAAAAAGGTGGACGAACAACAAGAACACCTGCCTGAGAGGCAAGGAACCAGCAGTCTGCATACAAATGAGTCAGATCTGTTAAAAGGATACACACGCAACACTCAGGTTCTGGAACATGACTGCAGTCAAAAAGTGGATGAACAACCAAAACTTTCCGGCAGAGTTTACAGCTGGTGAACGCGAAAAAGAAAAAGATATCAGTGAATTGTCTAACATGCTATTTCATGTCAGTGAATTTATCAGTTTTTTTTGTTTTTTTTTCTGTTTGTCATAATATCCATGTTCTCTTTATTATTTTTCCCCGCAATAAAATTTCTATTTGTACAGCTTGTTTGATCTCTGACGCATTTTTCTATTGTCTCTTTTCTGGCTTTTTTGTTTGTCTGCTTATTTATACTGGCTGATTATATTCAAAAGTAAATGAAAGGACCCTTTTCCACGCGTTCGGGCGTATTGGATATATGGGGAAGACCTATATTTTATAGACCAAACGGCACTTGGTGTGTAATGTGGTCAACATTACGTCTGCCGCCTTTACTTCCCAGGACTGTACCTGATACCCACTCAAGGCTTGGTCCACCTGGTAGCCAAGGTCAATTTAGAAAAAGTCCGGCCCCTGTCAGGATCCGAATCCACGACCTTCCGATCCACAGGCGAGCGTTTAGCAGCTAAACCAGGGCGGTTTCCCGCTGATACATTTATCTTCTAATGGTCTGTTTTGTAATTCTGCTGCAGCAGATTTTAAAAAAATATTTTCTTTAAAAAGAGAACTATGCATGCTTAGGTTAAACCATATAGCTCCCACATTCATCGGCGACCCAGTCGCCCATGGCTCGCCAATAGACGACTTCGTAGCTGGTCGGGACAGTAATAGGGTCGTCTCTTCTGATCGCATCAACACTGCAAGAGCCCTTTTCAGGGCGACTTGGTGGCGATCAATGTTAAGCCATTTTATATGGCGCAAATAACATTGTCACAAGTATAACCAAAAGCGCCCCCTTCGCGGATGCTGGTTAAACATGACAATTTTATTTTCGCAAATCAAGGAAGGAAGGATTTATCCTTTATACAAATTTGCAACGGGCAGAGTTGCCCACTAACTTCATGTAAAATGCGTTGTTTCCGTAAGGCCACTAACAACACAAAAAGGAGCAATGTAACACATACCAGCTTTAAAGAGAAAGTTAGAATAAGACCGTGTCTGGATCATATTGATAGATAATAAGTAAAATGATTCGGTCATAAAGTGAGAAACCAGCAAGACCAGAGTGCATATGCGACTTTATTTACAACAGCACTGGGAAGAATGCAAGGGGAAGACCAAGAAAGATGGATAAATCTTGTAGCAGAAACCTGCAAAAAATATGAAAAAAAATCCACTGCCCCAAGCCACTTAAAAGCGCAAGACAAATACAGAAAGTTGCGTCACTGGGCTCCAACATGGTATCAGAAAGACGACAAACGAAGAAGAAGAAAAAGAAGAAGAAGAAGAAGAAGAAGAAGAAGAAGAAGAAGAAGAAGAAGAAGAAGAAGAAGAAGAAGAAGAGGAAGAAGAAGAAGAAGAAGAAGAAGAAGAAGAAGAAGAAGAAGAAGAAAAAGAAAGAAGAGGAAGAAGAAGAGCTCCCCGTTCCCCAATATTTTTTTTAGTCAAAAGCCTTATCCTTGAGGTTCCGTCTACGCTGTCTCAACGACTTCCTTATCTCTTCCAGCGACCGTCCTGTTTACCGACGGTACGTGTCCCTAAGTATTGCACTGTCACGCTACAGACCACACTATGTATATTTGCCGTAAACACTTATTGAAGCTCTTTAGTATGTTTACTAAAGTATATTTAGGGACTAAATTTTGTGACAGCAGGTACAGTATCCAGAGTGGCTGGTCGAATGGTTAAAAACGCTGTGTTATCTTGTGGAAGACCCCGGTTTGAGTACTCGGTAAGGTGAATTTTCTTCTGCCCAGCGCAAAAAAAAAACATGACCTGCACAATTCGTGGCGACAGCACTGGCCTTACGGACCTAAATCCCCAGGGTCAAAGCCATCTCCCCCCCCCCCCAAACCTCCACCCCAGCCAATCTTAAAAACGCTGCCAACGTGCTAAATACAGGCAGTAATTGCAGTTCCTGTTGGACTGAGTAGCGCAGTGGCCAGACGCTTTCATGCCTGCCTGAAGATCTTAGATTCGAGTCGCTTTCAATTACCTTTTCGCGTAGCCATTGAGAAGGTTATGAGCGTCGAACCGTTCAGTAATTAACTGCAAGCTACTGAACGCTACATTGTAGCACACAGTAATAATAATTATTATTGAGCATTTAATCAAGGCTGAAGACTCTATAGGAACCCCACCTCCTAGAAAAGGGTAAATCCCGTGCGCCCTCACCTCAAAGTCCTAAACGTCTTTACGGCGGAACGTCTGTTTTTAGTTTAATAAGACTTTTTTTTTTGTCTGTTATAATAATGTCTTAGAAGAATACAAAATCTTCACTGGACAGATTTCAGATCCAGTACGCAAAATAAGACAAAAGACCAAACAAGATAATGTATCCAGTTTTATAAGAAAGCACCGCTAGAACTACATCGGCTATGCACTTAGAATGGATGAAACAAGACTTCCACATCAAGCCCTTTTACAGACACCGTAGGGAAAAGTAAACGGCAAGACCAAGAGAGAAGAAGACGAAGAGAGACCCTGCGTAGAACCATCATTAGGGTAGGCCTAACAAACACCCAAGACCTAAAACAGATGGCAACGAACCACCAGAGCTATGACCTCTTCCCTATGTGCCGCCTTAGGCTTAAAAGGAAAGAGTCACTAATGTACTAATGATGTTGTCGAAAGTCTTGATTGCGTCCTTTTAAAAGCGTGTGCTAAGTTTTCTTTGATAAGTTTTCTTTGTGTTTTAGTCTCTTACAAAATATTTAGAATGCTTTTAATGCCCCCCCCCCCCACCCCCTCAAAAAAAAAATTCAACATTTATTTTGTTTGTAAGTTGGGCAATTTGATTCCTCTGCGTTCTCTGACCAACCCCTAAATTCACTGCCTAATGTGATTAAAATACTACATAAATTTAATAAATAAACAGAGGGGGAACCCTGGGGGATAAACAAACAGAAGGTGAACCCTGAAGGATGAATAAACAGAGGGGGAACCCTAGAGGATAAATAAACAAAGAGGGAACCCTAGAGGCCGTTAAAAATTATATATTAGGACACAGAAAATGTTTTAATTGGCACTCATAGAAAAAAGTAGAAAGATAGAAAAACACACTAGACAACTTCATTCATTCATTCAGTAGCATGTCCCTCGCGGAACCTCGCTGCCATAACAACCCTCCGGAAAACCTTCCTATCATGAGCAAGATGTCCTGCGTCTGATACACCCATCTGGAGATCATCTGCCACATCCTGCACCCATCTTCTCCTTGGCCTTCCTCTTCCTCTCTTCCCAGGCATATACCCCTCCACCCCTCACATTATTGTTCTCCTCTAGACTTCCATGACGTTTCAAGTGACCAAAATATTTCAATTTTCTTTGTTTTATTGTCTTTACTAGCCAACCCTCTTCAATATTCAGCTCTTGAAGTATTGATGCATTTGTTCTTTTCTTTACCCAAGATCTAGACAACTTAAAAGTCGAAATTCATAGTTACCGTGCCTGGAATCGAACCTGTCACCTTCAGAAGGCGTGTCCACCTGGCTATGGAAACAAGTGCACTATGAACTTGGTTAACTAGCCACCCCCCCCCCCCCCAAAAAAAAAAGGTACATTGGAATTACCAGTCGGACTCGACAAGAAGGCCACGAAAGCATGAATCGACGACAATAAAGGCACTACGCCTTCACGCCATGACAATAGCCAGTGGCAGCTAGCGCGCGCGGGGTCGCAAATTATTCCTCCCTACGCCGCTTGACTGCAGAAATGGTTTGTGATGAAGGTGATGATGATGATCATACGTCCTGTGCGTCACTTGCGTAATAAGAGGCTTTCATTTCTATCTTGTATATTAACAGTAGACCCCTCACCACTACCACCCCCTCCTCATAATTAACCGATTGTTTAGTTAAGCGCTCATCTGTACACATACGTCACCATCTTGGGTAATATTTGAATAGCCAGTCTGGCAAGTGTACCCAAGCTAGTTTCTACGAATTACTGGTTTCATCTTATCCTTTGTTAAGGCTTGGAT